TTATATAGTTAGAGTTATTCAATCAAAGGAACACGCTGTCTTTTTATAGATAATGATGGGTATGCACCAGCATCACCAAGAACAGAAGGTGATGAAGAGTATGAGATGGTGGATAGAAACAATGGTCCTACATCGTCTGGTCTGAGACGAAGAAAAACTTGGAGTGCTCAAAATGAAACAGATAGAGAAACAGCTAGGTTGTTAGAGAGCCTTCCTAGCAGGCAATTAGGTATGTCATATTTTTAGTTGTTATGATACGTTTTTAAACAGAAATATACATTGTTGGTCGTAATGTGCCTGCTTTGTAATCGGATGCCTGTCACTTCATTAAGCATTTCATTGGTGGAATTTACACTATAACATTTGACCAAAACATTTATGTTGATATTAGTTAATTGATTCCTAAATCCTCATTTATCTTATGTATTTATCTTTTTATCTGATTTCAGAATCTTTAGCCACGACATTAGGTAAAGATACCATACATTTTAAACATAGAAGAATGAAGTCCTTCCATGGAGGATCTGGTGTTGATCCATCAAATGAAATAGCTGATGCTATGACTAATGATCCACAGTTTGCTGAAAAGACAGAAGATGAAATAGAAGAAATGTTAAAAGGAATGACCACTACTTTATCAAGTAAAAGAGTGATCATGTAAGCTGGTCATATACATGTACTGGAAAATACAATTGCTCCATATTTGATATTGAAGTGCAAAGTGAACAAATCTAATTGCAAAATGGTATTATGCATGAATAAAATGAAACCTTTTATTTAGGTCTTCTTTTGTTTGTCTTTTTCATGAAATTTGTGATTACATATTGAGAATCAGAACCCTGTTGATTTCAGGCATAAAGTCAGTTCTAGAAGAAAGCGTGGTGTAGGACGTTTTACAAGATTTAAATATAATGTAGCAATGGTAAGTAAGGCCAGTGTTATTATAATACCAAATCTTGATGAAGTGTTCAAAATGCATCCGATATTGAGATTGTCTTGCAGATACCTTTTCCGGGTGTACCCATTGGCTAATTTTACTGACTTATGTCCCATGTCCAAATAATTGATTTAACCCAAGTTGGTTACACCTTTGAGAATGTTTACACAAATATATGTTTTCTGCCAAAGATCAGGTCAGCTTATAGTCAAATAATTCCCTTTTTTCACTCTTTTTCAGAATTGGCAACATTTTAAGTATAGTGTAGCTGAAGTGATGTATTCACTAGAGTTATGGAAATCACATCTAAAACTAATTGAAGGTCATTTTGGTACAGGGGTCACTTCATACTTCTTATTTTTAAAATGGTTATTTTTGATCAATATTCCTGTGTTTTTGTTGACATTAGGGTTTGTAGTATTACCACAAGTACTATATAGATGGTTAAAACAAGATCCACCAGGTTATATTGAGCCTAGTGAAAATAGTACTTATGTGTCATTTACTGGTATTGAACTACTTACAGGACAGGTGAGTACTTGATATAGAAATTTGATCAATTTTCAAGTTCAAACAATAGAAATCTATGTCCCTGAGCTATTTTAAAATGAAGACATCTTGTGTTCTTGGTTGAACTGGAAGTTTGAATTTATTTTGAAGTCATATAGTTGTTATAAAATATCAATCTTCTACAAATAATGCATATATCATATGCCACATACATACATTTTATTTCATTAATGATGTTCATTAGAAAATAAAACACATATGCAGACTTGATTTCTGACAGTTAAAAACTTGCTATGCATATTTTAGGGTTGGTTTGAAAATACTGAGCTATATTATGGTTTCTATACAAACAGAACAATTAATTTGATTGGTAACCATAATTATGAGATGAAATATGCTTATCTATTTACTTGTGGTGGATATTATTTATTATGTTTGATAATACTAGCTACAAGGTAAGACTCATATGTGGGGTTATTGCAAAACAGATCTATTCAATTGAACCCCTAGACAAAACTGCCAAACAATGGTGTATATAGCAAAATATTATGTTGTTTTTAGGTATATAACATGTTATGTTATCTTAAAGAAAACATAAAAGGCAGTAGGGATATCAGTTTCTATTATGTAAGTCAAATTGGTGTAAATTAGAAGTCAGAATAAACTATGATATATATAGCAATGGTAAATTTGATGTTATGTTGTATTTCAGTATATTACAATCCTATAGAAAGTATTATATAGAAGGCAGTGGGGATATCAATTTCTATTATATAAGTAAAGTTTTCAATGGTTGGGATTATGGAATCACATCGGTAGAAGCAGCTAGATTAAAACACAAGAGTCTGTTTTTAGAATTATCGGTAAGTTTTTGATGGAACTTATTGCAAATTATTTAATTCTGAATGAAATTCAGAATACCAAAATTTTTGTAAAGATTTTTACTGAGATAGGAAAATAAAATATTTCACTGCCATGTTATTATTTCATATCCAAATTTTTTTTAGGAATATTTAGCGGGTTTTAAAGGAAAGAAAGAGAAGACATTATCAGCTAAATGTCAATTATTTATGATAAGATTATGTACTAATATAGCAGTACTTGGTTTAATTGGTGCTTCAGGATATCTTATATATTATCTTTCTTCTATCATCAGAAGGGTAAGTTTTCATTATTTTACCTTCTTTTGTGAGGTCATATGTTCAGCTTTAAAAGAGCTGCAAAAAACTAATTATTTAAGAAAAAAAAAACGAAAAATACTGAAAGATCATCTCTATGTAACCAATTTTATAAATTGCAGATAAAATACAATGCATTTATTTTAGTTGTTACTAACTTGAAAGTCCAGTATTCAATCCCTGCAATGGATACCTTGAGATTCTACAACCTAGTTTCCTTTTTGAATTAGGCTGTGCCCTTTAAAGATTCCTCATACAATGTATGGTGCAACCAGTAATCCCAATAAGGTGCAGAAAAGTCCAATATAAAATACTATTTCATTGTTTTCTCTTTGTTAAAGTCTATCTTCACAACAAGAATATAAGGTTTGTTACAGTGGATCTGTAATCTGTAATTTATTTGTAGATTGAGATACCATATTTAATAGATGTTTTAGCTATACCATTGTGTATAACTGGTGTACATTTAATATTACCAATATTATTTCACCTGTTAGAGAGACTAGAATGTTACGTTAAACCCAAAACAGAACTTTATATCCATATGATCAGGTACTAATATTTTTTCATACTTCATCTCAGGTTAATGTATATTAGGTAGGCTTAAAAGACTTTAGTTTATTTCCATAATTTTATATGTATCATAAAAGACAAAGAGCCAATATGGAAGACCTGACCCTACATGATAATGGCCACACTTATATCTCTATCATACATTTGTGACTTGTTTTTGAATTGTCACAATATTTATTTTAGAACAATGACATTAAAAGGAGTAACTTTGATAGTTTTAGTTAATTTTTGGTTTACAGAATTATCTAAAGACAGTACTTTGGTAAGTAGTCCTATTGACAAACTACTCAATGCAATTGAATCAAGATGTTTTGTTTCCTTATTCGTCTTGACAAGACAAATTGTGCAAGAAACAAGGTGATTTTTGAGGCTAACATCTCTTCTGAGGATAGTTTCTAAGAAATATTTTATAGCTCTTGTAATCTGATTGCATATTTATTTATTCAGTGTTGGGAAACTTATGTTGGTGAAGAAATCTACAGATTAGTTATTGTAGATTTCATTTTTACACTTCTGGTTACTTTTCTCTTTGAATTTATGAGAAGGTAAATTATCCTTTAACATTTTAGCATCATTATTATTTAGATTTATCTGACACATTTACCTGTGAATTTTTTTTTATTTTGAAGCAAAGAAACATCTGTTTTTACATAGATCTATGCTGAGACAAATTAGCATGTTCTTTAATACTCTTAAAATTTGAGAATTTCTAAAAAACTTTCTTAATTACAAAGAGTAACAAAATGTTTTACATAGCACTAACAGATGCTAATTCTTTTCAGGATCGTTGCAAACTATTGCATAAAATCATTATCAGTAGCAGAATTTAACATTGGTAGAAATACTATGGATCTTATTTATTCGCAGACATTATGTTGGTGAGTAGATATTTTATAATAGAATTCTATTGAAATTTAGTAATCAGGTACAGTGGCAAGTAATTAAAATCCAATGGTACTTACAGTCAACAGTTAATGGTGAAAATATTGTGTCACTGTCATAATATTATTATTATCTTACAGGCTGGGTACATTTTATTGTCCACTTCTATCATGTATAGTACTGATAAAACTTGTTATTATATTCTACGTAAAGAGGGTAAGTGTGGATATAGATTTTATGTTGATCAATTCTCTTATAAAATAAGAGACAAAGAACTGTCCAATTTTAAGTGTAAAAAGTGCTATGGAGATCCCATAAAGTTTGAATTTATTCAGTTGTTGATTTTATGGATAAAAAAGTTTATTAATTTTTATATCAATGAAAATTTGAGAACTGTATTTGTGTCTGAGGAGATCTCAATGTGGTATTATTTTGGATTACAGGTCAGTGTCATACAGAATTGTCAACCATCAATGAGACCATGGAGAGCTGCCAGATCACATACAATATTTCTGGGTTTTCTATTTTCTTTCTTTTTATTAACAACTGTAGCTGTAGCATGTGGTATTATATTGTAAGTAATGTCCTTTTATAATTCAAACTGTTATACAAATTATGTCCAAATCTTTGAAATATTACATAACTGAAATGATCTGCACATTTTTTAAGTATTTAAAATTTGAATCTTGAATATATTTCAGTGTGGAGCCAAGTGATAATTGTGGTCCTTATAAAGGTCAGAATCAGACTTACCAAGTTGTAACAGAGCTAATAGATTCCTGGAAAGATGATTATACCTGGTTAACTTACACCATAGAATTTATCTCATCACCAGGCTTTATAGCAGCTGTTGTTATAATATTGGGGTAATTCATCATGTTTTATATTAACCACTTTTATACAATAATATACCTTATATATTATCAACTGTTTATAGTATAGTATACATTACATGGGTTAGTCATTGTGTTCTTTTTTAGCTGTTCAAAGGGAAAGTCATCTGGTTCTTTGTAGTTGTTTCATGGGAAAGTCATATTATTTTGATGCTGCATAGGTAAATCATCATCAAGGATAGTTCTCGTTGAGTTTTATTAAAGATATGTCATCCTGTCTATTGCAAAACTTTCAAGCATAATTTCAAGGAATTTAAAAGTATTTTGATGGTTATTGTTATTTCTTTGTTTTGTAGAATGGGAACATATTATTTAAGATTAGTTATGATTGGACATAAACAAATGGTCACATTGTTAGAACAGCAACTTACATTGGTAAATAATCATTTATAAAAATACACAAGACACAATATTAAGATTTTCTTAAGGGTCTTTATTTCTGTCATTTTGCTGAAAATAATTCAGCTTAAAGCGTTATTGAAACCTACAGAAGTATGATCTCATATTGAGAAATGGGGACACAAGAACAAGTACTACTTAAAATTTCAAGGAATAATCCAATCTAGACATCCATCAACAACTTTAGTTTTATATAATTTTAGCATTATTAAGTAATATATTTCTTTTGATTTTCTATAACTTTTCAATTAATTTGAAAAAACCTGAAAAGTAGCTTAACTTTAACATGTCTGATAAAATGATTTTACTCTACAGGAAGGAAAGGATAAAAACTTTTTGTTAAAATTACTACAAGATGTTAATAAGAAAAATAAAGATAAAAAGAAGACGTCACGTCCTCTGACTGCTACGTCTTATTTAAGTGATGATACAGTTACATCACCAGGTTTGTACCTTTTCCTAAGGACAGGATTCAGTGCTCTGACAATTTGGGATGTTTATATATTATATATAAAGATAAATGCTGTAAAATACTAGTGCTTGAGTCAATTATTGACCGCAATACAGGTAAATAATCAAATGAGAACTCAAAATTTAATATCCATTGGCTTATTTTTCATGAAGTTGCTCTAAATATAATATGTGACTAAGAATCAATAATTCATTATATATTATTTGAAGATTTTTCCAGTAGGCCTATCTGGAAAAAAATTTTGAATGTCTTAGTACATTTTTCACAGAGTTTATTTTCAAAAAGAACATTTAAACTATTCCAAGTTTCTGGAACTCTGAATCTTGTTTTATATCTTTAAACACATTAAGATTGTTTTACAAAGATAATAAAATCATCTTTACTTTATCATTATTCAACATATTTTTTAAGATTTTAAGTCAATTGTATGCAATTTTTTGTTTTATTTGTTCTGGACTCAGCAAGTAGCATGTTTAAAAAATTGATTGTTTTCACTTCTGGTTGATGTGGATTGCATGGGATTATTTCATATTTTTGATAAAATTTTCATCAGATTTAGGTGAACCATCATACAGACTTGGTGATCAAGGTCTTTAATTGAATACTTTTCTTGTATTGTTTTATGGTGTTGTTGTACTAGGCTTACTATGTATATAATAGAATGATGGTGTGAATTGTGAGTCTAGTCCTGTATATGAAAATCACTGGTTTGTGTTGCCTCATTGATTGTGCATGCCCTTTTTTTCCTTAATTTTTCTTTTGTCATTTTTTTTTTTTTTTTTTGACTTAGACTCTTTTTATCCCACTAAAACTGAAATCAGAATTTTAACAAAATTCTTATAATTAAGTTGATCTAATATTTATCATTTTGATATAATCTCCTTTACAGATAATAACTTTCATAATTGCAGAAATGATTATTAACTGAATGACCTAAAAGCCTTCAAATCTTTCATTTGACCAGTCAATTAAATATTTTTTTAGATAATTCTTCACTTTGTGTTTACTAGTACTGTTTCTAATAATATGATTATTACTATAAGAGAAATTTTAGATGTGCTCAGATTAGTAAGATTCTTCAGCCTTTTTCATTTGTTAATAAAAACTTCTTATACCCCCATTTGTATCACTAAAACTTCCTTTTCTCTATAGAAGTATGCCCACATCTTAGTTTAGTGATACTTTTGATTGTTATTTTTGCATAAACTGCTTGAACTTCACATGATATGTATTATTAGTCATGCTTAGTAGTCCTGTTATTCAACACAGCTCATTAGTATTAACCACCATCTTTTCTTATATTTCCTATTAGCTAAGATAAAACACATTTAGTTTATTTTTAGAGCATTTCATGTTTTAAGTATCTTTAGGTGTCTGTGATGTGCATGTCTAATCATTGTTACTAATAAGTATTTATTGACATAACCATGTCATTTCTCATTAAAAAAGATGCAGCTTTCTTAAATTAGAACAAAAGTTTCACAAGAATGATGAAATTACCTTTAAATAATCAATTTGATCTGAATTAAGACATAAATTCAGGATTTATAATAATCCTCACAGCAAGCAAATTTTTGAAGCTCAAGTAGTAAATTCATGTTTGTAAACTAAAAACATGCTGGCTTATATAGAAATATAGATAAACACTGATAATTCTTGATTATTCATCATACATACTGTCTTACTGTATAACCGCTAACATATTCTTTTCTTAAAAGTACCTAATAGAGTCTAAATATAACTTGAATTAGTATCATACAACCTATGCCCTAATATATATTTCCAGGGTACATGTGTATCGAATGATAAAAGATATTTTGGTTTTTTTTTACAGGAGGAAGGACATTTATTCGTCAAGTAGCTGAGGCGTCATCAAGAACTGGATTGTGAGAGTTGATAGATGAGATATAGAATTCCAGTATTATATTATAATGTATATACAAGACAATGATATATAAACGAGCAACTTACAGATCTTAATGTTACTAAAAAATTGTTAAAATAATGTTTTAAACAAAATTAAAGAGCGTCTTTGCGCTTGCCTCAATACAGTTATTGACAATTTTTGTATTTACTCTTATTAATAGCCTTTTTCCTCTTTTGTGATATAATAAAAAACATTTGATGGTCTCTGTGGAAATGTTAGTTTACAGAAATCAAAAAGGAAAAGATTGTTCAGATGCCTGCTTATTTCATGAATTCTTCTATATAAAATGTGTTAGTAATTCAATATCATTTACCTTACAGAAATTATTCCATTATGAATATAATTTTCTACAAAATATAGCATTTTAATACGCAATATTATAATTTTAATATTTCAAGTTAAATGTGTGCCTTATTTTATAATGACTTATAATTTATTTTACATACAATATATTTTATAACTTTGTTTTTATATTTATGTTCTTGTGAAACTGACCATTGCAAAAAATAATGGAGATAAAGAGTGAACGTAGACTCAATGTACACAAAGATGAAACGTGATAAAAGACAATCATGCAAAGTCTTATATCCCACTAGTCCAGCAATTGTGCAAAATAGAAATTTGTGCAACTCTCATAGGACTACTTCATAAGGAAGATAAGACGATATTTTCTCTATTTATATTTGGTAGTAGAGAACTATTAACAATGATATATTCAACAGTTCAACTTCAATAAATTTTTCAAATGGTATATAGAAAAAAGCATGTTTTCATATAGGCCCATATATATAATTGTAGGTATTTGGTGACTACACAGTTTATCTTCTACCAGAAAGACTATTGACAACCCAGCAGGGTAGGCCTATAGTAGGATTTTCTTGCCTTACTATGATTGGTATAACTTGGCCACAATATTACCAAAATTGAGCTATAGATAATAAATGAAGAATAAGTAGTCATACAGGACGGAATATAAATATTATACAATATCACATAAATACATAAACAATATCACATTAATACATGTACAATATCACAATTCTTATAAAATGTATAAATCTGATATTAAATTTAACTGATGGTTATTGTAATAAAACAAAAGAAATAAATAATATATGTGTAATTATTATATTACAGAGATACTGAATAGTGCGGTTTTTATAAACCGTTTTCAAAAAGTATTTTTTCTTGTCTATTGATATACAAAATATTTTGTTATTCTTTATCTAATTCTAGGCTGATAATAATTTTCAAAAACAAGAATTAGATTTGATAGCCTAAAATATTGATCATTACGACCATAAGGATCATGTTATCCGGTATTCAAGTTTGTTTTTAAAGAAATCTTTAAAGATATGACTAGATGGTTTATCTTTGATTTCATTCAGAATATTTACTAAAGATCTGTCTTGAAAATGTACACAGACATTGAAAAAATCTTCTAAAATAACAATATAATACTAAACTATCACAAAAATATCACAGATAATAAATCGTTTATTATAACAATGTGGTTTTCTCCAATAAACATTTAAAATAACAAATAAATATACAATTTTTATATTCCTATTACTGGATTTGTCCTTATCACAATACATGATAAATTACATGCAATATATACAATACAAGTTATATCCAAACATAACAAGCATTAAAAAAGTTGTGGAAAATATCAGGACTGTTGATTTGTATCTTGTGCCAGACATGACTGACAAAAATACTCAGACTACAAAATATGAATGTACATCCAATCTTGTATTTTACTCCCAAGAATAAAGATCACATATTAAGAACAAAAGGTAATTTCTAAGAATATTGTTTTATGTTTGTGTATATTGGTAAAGAAATTCAAATGAACTGAATTATAAGTGTATACAAAAAGAAACAGGAATATTAAAATAAAAGATATTTCTATTAAAAAATACATTACACATAAATGCATTATCAGATTTAAAAGAGAGAAAAAGCACTTATATCTGTATTAAAATGAATGAATGATTCATTCATCATCTTCTTCTACATCTTGTCTGATACTGTCTAGAAATGATTTCCCTCTTTCTTCCATTTTAGCATGTTGTGCATCATAACTCTTTCTTCGTTCCTGTTAAAAAAGCCCAAAAAATAAACCCTCAAGATATGGATGCATACCAAAACTAGAGTGGTAATGGTAGAAACCTAGTTATTGTATTAACTATATATCTTAATCTGATAATTTCATGTGCAGTTATTACTGACAGCAAAATCTCAACAAAACTTGCATAGGATGTAAATTGCGCTAGAGCTTGGCATCATAACGCAATAAATAAATACAAAAAATTACAAAATATTGTGATATATGGTTGTTGACACACATAATTCAACAAACAAGTATTCAAAACAGATTTTTTTTTCATGATATAGAGACTTAGAGATATTAATTGTTTTACTGTTACATTTGTTTCAAAAAATAATTAAAAAAAACAGATATACATCCATATTGTGATATATTAATGCTCCATATTGTCATATCCATTTAAACCAATATCGCCTTGCCAACTTTGATTACTGCCACCAACACTATCAAGCAGTAAGCTTTTTCACAAAAACAGCACGATAGGTATCAGAGGCATGGTATAGTTCCCTATAACTGATAATGAGCAAAACAACACCTTATTAGATAAAAAGATTACCTCAATTTTTTGTATTTTTCGTATGTCAGAACCTGTAGTAGTTGATGATTCACCACCATTTACAGTACTGGTTTCATCTCCACTACCTACATCAGCTTTATAGGAGGTGGAATCCTGAAATTGTACAAAACTCAATGTAGTCATCAGCATCACAATTTCGCATATGGGTGCTATTAATCTCAATGAATCATGAACAAGTCTTAAGCATTACAGTAGGCATAAATGAGTTTGTAAATAATTTAGGAGTGGTCAAAGCCATGAGGTTTGCATGATGAAATGAAAAAATAATTTCCTTACCTTATCAGGATCCATATTAGAACTACTAAAATATAAAAATAAGCTACTTAGTTTTTTTTGATGTCTAAATCTAAAGTGGAGGAGTAAATCTATATCAATTAATTTTGAGAGTTTCAGCTTATTGCATCAGGGGTTATATTTAAACAATACAATATTCAATATGCAACTTATCATAGATCAAATGATACTTAAACAACAAAATCATTTTTACCTTCCATTGAACATTTTAGCAAATCCACTGTCTGGATTACCAAGTTCTCTTTCACAGGCACGTAGGAAATCAGCTACACTGTGTTTCTCAAATTCTTCAGCCAAATATACTGGTTTTCTACCAAAAGTGTCTTCAGCTGTCAACACTGATCTGTTGGCTACCAGCCACTTTACACATTCTAAATGGCCACTGAATAAGGGAAAAATCAAAATTTAAAATCAAGGGGATTAAAAAAAAACCATGAGAAAGATCAAATTTTGTAGGTTGAGCAATGGGCACAGGGACTTAATCACATATTTCTTAACAAGATTTAACTCAGCCTGGTATCCAACTCTAGCTATTTGTCAAAATGTCAGGTGCTGGTAAAGTTCTTAACCATTTTGAGAGCCAGCAATTAGAAAAATTTAGCAAAGGTTGATTTTCATGGACATTTGGAGTTCTGGGTACCATCTTATTTTTACAACTTACCCTCTTGCTGCTAAATGTAGTGGTGTCTGTTTTTCTATTGTTTCACAATTGACTTCTGCTCCCATTGCTGCTAATATCTGTAAGAGATAAGTATATATAAATAAATATCAATATCTTTATCATTCTATAACAAAATTTCAATGCCTTCCAATTTCCAAGTGTAGTTATCTACACACAATTGACATAGTACAGAAACTTCAACATCTTATAAATTCTTTTCAGGAATTTTTGTCTTTTAAATTTTAGCAATGGTAGCTCTATCATGATCAAAGATAAATACGTTTTAGATTTTCGTTTTAAAGAGAAAATCTACCAATGAAAACAAACTTGTTCTAAGTGTTGTCTTTTATGCTTTTGACCAACTAGTACAAAATGACCACCTACCATCATAATATTAACATGACCATGTAAAGCTGCTAAATGCATTGGGGTATAACTTTGTGGTGTTTCTTGGTTCAAATCTACACCCAATGCTGCTAACCATTTAGTTACTGAAGTTTGTCCATGAATTACTGATTTATGTAACGGTAGTAAACCTTTTTCATCTTTTGATCTAAAAGTAAGTATATATATCAATACAAATAAATCATTTGGTCATTTATTTTTGTTCAAAGTTTATTGATCAAAATCATTTCATTCAGTATTACTATCATCACATTTGTTAGAGATAAAAGAAATAAATCTATGTATGTTGTGATATCATCCAACACACAGTATCACACGATATTTATGTTATCATTATCCAGTACAAATTTTCTGAATTTACAGGAAATCTTAACAGAAAAAATAAGTATCACATAAATAAGAAGAAGCTCTTTTGAATCCCTCTATTAAAATAGATTTATTTTATTACTCCTTATGAAAGCATACTGATGTAATCTAATAAATATTCATAACACTTACTCCTTTAATTCAGGAAATCTATCAAGTAATTGTTTAATACGTTCTATATGACCATTACTAGCAGCTTCATGTATAGTCATACCATGAGTTAATATTCGTTTATCTTCTTCCATTCTATCTTCACGTTGTCTTATAGAATCTTTCTCTGCTGCTTCTAAACCAGCCTACAAAATAATAGCACATATTTTCTTGTCTTCTTCAGAATTTTTAAAAATCTAACATTAAGTTCACTGACAAGGGGAAACCAGGTTGAAAAACCTCCAATATGAATCGTATCTTCATAGAATCTTGGAGCAAATCTATTTCAGGCAAAGGTCTAAGACTCATATTATTTATGAAATATGTAATGTAGAGCACCTACTAAACTGAAACAAGAGCACTGCCTTCATTGTTCCTTATCAAAACAAAACCTGGTTAATAAACTTTAAATCATTAATCCTACTGTACATTTTCTTCTAACCATTTTATATTGAGTCTCTAATTAACATTAAAACACAGTAAAATAAGACCTACCTTGTATCCCTTTAAAAAATCTACTTTATTATCATTATCTTCTTCATTGTTATTTCTAGATTTTGATGATTTACTTCTCTCTGTTTGCTTCTGCTCCCTTTTTTCTTCTCGTTCTGAATCTCTCCTCTCTTTTTCTTTTCTTTTTGTCTCTGATTTCATTTTTTCAGTTTGTCCCCTCTTCTCAGAATCTTTAGATAAGAAAGTAAAAGTTGGACCATTTGCTTTATTGGAGGAGTCATTGCTAATTTTTCTTTGATTAGCTTTACTTTGGTGTCTGGGTGAACCTTTTAATGATATTATTGTCTCTTCTCGACTTTCTTCTTCTTCTGTTTCTGATTCTGTGTCAGATCTGGATGTACTTGTATAGGAGTCACTGGTATAAGTTGATTCACTTGCACTGCTCTCTTTCTTCTTCTGTTGAACTTGCTTTACTTGTTTGGATGGTTTCTTTTCTGGTGTAACAACTTCAACTGAAGATGCACTTGTGTCTGACTTTACTCTTTGTTTCTGTTGTTGTTGTTTTTGTGAGCTTGGAGGTCTGTCGTGTATTTTTGGAGTTTTTGAGACACTATCTGGCTTTACTCTTGGAACTGTAGATTCATAAGGTGTAATTGCTGAAAGAAAATTTAAAAGTCTTTATAATTTCTATTTGCAGGAGTGACATTAAATAATAATGTTTCAAATAAAATAGAGTTTAAGTCCTAGTTTCTGCACCTGTTTGGACCAATGAGGACAAATTCAAAGAGAAATATATTTTCTTACGTTCATTTTCAACAAGGTTCCTATCTCGTTCAACTGATAAATAAACATAAGTATTTTTATCACCATTCTGACCAGTTAACCATCTATTACAAGTAAAATCATAGACTTTTTTAGCATGGAAATCAGAAACAGTAACACACTCTAAATACCACGCATAACCTGAATAAATTAAATAAAAATTGAAAGCAATGACATATTTCAGATAAATTTGCCAGAAACGCCACTTTGTTTACCAAATAAATAACTTAATATCCTTGCTAAGACCACAATATTGTAGACATTATATCTGAACAGTCTTATATCATACTGTGTTACTTGCCTAAAAGAGATGCTTGGCAGTGTGCATGATAACAAATTTGAAAACACACAAACAATACTATCATTTCTTATTTTTGAGGTACTTCGTTACAACATGATAAGGTCCTATTTGAACAAGATACAAATCCTAAAAGCAAAAGATTATCCTTCACAGTAGTAATTTTACTCTCTGATTTTAACTTACTTAATTCTGGTCTGTCATGACCTATCTTGATTTTCTGTATTTCACCAACATGATGTGCTGATATATTAAATCTATCTTCCTATAACAAAGCAAATTAGCAGTTAAATACAACTTAAACATAACTTGTCATTCAGATATTTGCTTCTGACAGTTGAAATATAGCCTAAGAAGATAAACAACCAAGTATAATATAAAAAAATAAACATATTTGTGTTTATAATGTGCTGAAAGTGTTTTCTTAAACTAGGGGTGCGCACTATAGACAGTGACAAAACAAGAGGGAATGTTTCATTGGAGGTTCCCCAGTTAATATTGACATTATACCATTTTAATTGATTGCTGATGATACTAAAATGGAAGACTCAGTTCACAATATAGATGTTCTAAAATCTTATAATATTTTCCAGTTTTACTCAAAGGTAGAGAGGGGTGTAAAAATTCGCATTTAAGGCAATTACAATTATAAAGCATATGAATTCTGTGAAGAATGATTATAAAAAGATAAAAAGAAATTAAGTCACATACCTTTCCTTTCTGAAATTTCAGTTTATGTGTTGTGGATTCATCTAAGGTTATTTCTTTGGTGCGACCATGTTCCCCATATAGAGTGATTCTAACATCAGCTTTAGTACTAGCACCATTGACGGTACCTGTTATAACTATTACTTCATAGTCTGTTATAGGTCCTTCTTTCACTTCATCTTCAGTCTAAAATGCAAATTAATATAGCAACAACAAAACAAAAATTCTCCAATGCAGTAAGACTATTTAATAGACCAAATCACTGATGTTTCTTACAAAAACAATTAATTCTACAAATCCAAAAAATTGTTAACTCAAGACTAAATAACTGACACTGTACTTACATGATCATATTTCTCTAACAGACGACGTTCTGTTTGTATACCAACAGAATCATTAAACTCTGTTTGCATTGATACAGAAACAGCCACTTCTTCTTGGTCTGTTTTCTTCCCATCATTAATATAGGTACGGTTTCTTATTCTTTGAGATGATTTAGGTGGTGCTGGTGTTTTAAGGCGTTTGACATCATCAATAGATATTGAAGAGGAATGGGTAGAATCAGATGTATTAGATGGTGTTGGTGAACTAGGTCTCTGTACAGGACTTCTGCTAGACTGTGTTCTAAAATATTCAAGTCACAATATCAGCATTTTCTTGAAATCAATAAAATACATTGTATATGTACCTCAAAATATTATGTTGACGAAAAACAAAGAAAAGAAAATACCTTGTATTTCTTATAAAGATGAAATTTGAAGTTAACACAACAATGACCAGCTTCATTCCTTTTTGGCACATTTTTCAAAAATTTATCAATACTTTACAGAAATATGAATGTTTTAACTGAAATAAATGCAATTCATACCTTCTAACATTGTTATCTGAGGCACTGCTGTTACCATCATAGTACTGTAAAAAAAATTACAAAAACCAAGGCGTAATAAAACAATGCACTTTACAAGATTTTGATTCCAATTTTTTCATATTTATACAGTTGATATAGTTCCATCGTTTTCATTGGAAAAAAAAATCTTAGAAATTTTTTATAAGTATTCTAACTTGGTGAATAGTAACAAAAAAATTTGACAGAATTAATTTGATTTCCATAGAACACAAATTGATTCTTACTTTGAGTTGTGTATTGAACACTTTTCTTCCATTAATGTCATAAGAATATTTAGCTGTATGTGGTCGTTGGTTATCCTTTTAAACAAAATCAACAAACATTCATTAAACTTGTAATAAACATGTCTCATCTAAAAATCTTACAAATCTAAAAGCATGTTTCAAGAAACTATCAAAGCATTGATTCTAAATCAAGCATACATTCATACTGAATCCACTTACAATTTTACAAGATGTATGCTTATTTAAACCTGTAATGCAGTAATTCAAAGCAAGCTTCATCTAGTTCAAAATCTACAAGCATCTCTCATGAAGCATAAAGGTACAGAGGTGTGAGGTACAGTAAAACCCCTCCAATCCAAATTGTCTGGTATATGAAGGTCCTATTTCACAAAAACATAACACAGACTAATTCTACAATGAACTGATTGGCTTACAATAAAAGATCACAGACCAAGTTCAGTTTTGGTGGAATAGGCAAGGGTTCCACTTAGTATTAATGTCAAACTCTATCAATGTGTATTGTTCTAAGACACCCAGAAAAATTTGTGATATTAGGATTATGGTACCTTATAATAATCTGCTGAAGCTCTTCGAACTCTAACTAAGAGTCTATGTTTTCGTGGTCCACTCTATATATACACAATAACCATGCAATGTGAAGAAAGCCATAGATTAATAAGGTGTTATACAAACATTAACAGTGCAGTATATTGGGTGGCTCTTAAATGACTCACTAATCATTGTGCAGATTGAAATCCAAAATTTTATTAGTACATATCTTGTAATTTTCCTTCAGTAAGGGAATTGATTCAATTACAAAATCAGACCAGAATGCAGTGAAAATCTGTCAGTTTATTGTGTTATATTTTGTGGGGTCATTTTTAAAGCCCCCCCTTAATACAACACTAGGAAGGTCTGGTTATGCATGAAAATAAACAAATATATCTTTGATTGAAATCCTGTCCTGCCAAAGGAGATGTAAAATGAAGCAAGGGTTGTACACATTACAAGTTATATCTAATGCAATACCAATCCCTTGTATTAAATAAACAGAGGCCCACTCCCTCTATATAAACTTTTAAATTACATATGTGCTAATAAAAACTTCTACTTCAATGAAAAGCCTTTTAAAGTGAAAATATATTTTAGATCTTTAGTTTTATTATCTTTTATGTCAAAGATTTAAAAATATGAATTCAAAAGTAAACAAATACTAATTTATGAAAATGCAAACCACTCATTTTTATTATATGCAATCTTTTTTTTCTTGGCGCCATTTAGTACATTATCCCTGATTTGTTTATTATAGAAGATATATTGTCTAAATAATACAATTTCCTCATTGTGACTTTCTTCTTATTCTATTTGCATACAAACAATATATTCTACAGATAACATTACTACATTCTATTTACTATACATAACAACACTACAATTACTATTATAACAGTGACTACAGTATGAGATTCCATTCTGAATTTTAGGACAAACCAAATCCAAATTTTAAATTCAAATTACAAAAAAAGTATATTTAAAATGTAGTAAAAATTGTATATTATCTAATTATTTGGCCTCATGAATTACAAATGAAAACTACCAATTTATTTCATTGCAAATGTCACATCCATGACAAATATTAGTTTGTCCAAAATATCCAGATATTGTTATAAACAACATTCATGATGGTAAAAATTGAGTGAAAGTAGAATTTACCTCGAAAGAACGAGGAGCTGTTTGTGGTCGAGGTGAGCGAGCAGAATCCAGAGATTCTACTGTTTCCTGAAATAAAAGGAGCAGAAAGACATATATAGCTCAAAAAAGACAGTCTTGAAATTGAGATTTAGAGTCATTTGATAAATGTTTATAAGAAATGCAGAAAGGTTGAAGATCAACTAAGTTAAATCTACGAAACTTCTAAAAAGTCAAGTCTTCATATCTTTGATAATGACCATTCTTCTCCTAGAAAAGTATAAGGATACTTACGGTAGCAACTAGTAATTTGGCGGCAGCATTAACTAATCTATTGGTATCAGATTTGGTTGTAGATCTTGATAAAGATCTTGTTTTGGATGATCTGGAATAGAAATATTGCAAATGATGTATCCTACTTCTGTTCTCACATCTACAACTGAGCTTCAATGACAAATTGCAGGAATATTGTTGGTAGTTATGATCTTCTGTTTCCAAGAGAATTAAACATTCTGTAGAAAATGGTATGTTCCTGGATTATGCCCCATCCAAGTTAATGATCTTCAACATTTATGTTTCTCAAAGAAAGTAACGAAAAATTCAAGACTTCATTTCTGGTGGGTTGTATTAGATAGGTCAAAAAGTCTCTGATGTTGGAATCAACAAACTCTAATAGCTGTCACCAAGTTTCAGAACAAGATGACCACTGCTATAAATCATGTTGTTGATGAGAGATTTTTACATGATCAATTCAAACCATCAGAATTCTGGTGTGATAGTATGTAAGGAATGTCATAATTAATTCATATCACAAACATAAAAAACAACATTTTCTCACTAATTAATATGCCTTCTGATATCAAATTAGAATAGATCAGAACATTTTATTTCTATGAAAATAGGTTATTTTTTATCTTCATTTTTAAAGTTGTTGTGTGCTCGCAGTTTCTCTGAAACTAGGTTAAATTAGATTTAACAATTTGAATAGCAATTAACACACAAATTTCAGTTTAGGATAATCAAATAAAATTTTGGATTTGCATTTTGTTGAAATTCGGTGGCAAAATGTCTTCAGATTGTTCTTGCCAGTGATGTTATAGAAACTGACGAGGGTTGCCGTGTATTCTATTTCTAACTTTGGCAGAAAATTCTCACAAAAAATATACAATTTGTTCGGATTCCCTGGAACAGGTGTCAGGTTGTCAAAAAAAGATGAGTATATCCAGTCCCAATAGCTATTTTGCCCTTTCATTACCTGGTTTTTGCTGATCTAGTTCCTACACTTGTGCTTGCTCTAGGTAGTAATTGAGGTTTAGCTGTATAGATATAATAATATTCAGGTAACTTGGGACCCTAGAAAATGTAATATAACCTATGTATACCCAACAACAATATAAAAATACACATAACAATATAATGACCATAACACTTGGTATTCTTTTATAACTTTGTCAATAATAAAGTTAATGAAATCCAGCGTTAGCTTTACAGGGTTTAAGAAGAATAATGTATTTCGCTCCCTGTATTATATTAGTAATATTCAAACTCTTATCAAGGTCAACTACTTCTATAACAACACTAATGTCATTATCTGTATTTGGAGGCTCCATTTTCCATTGATTTAAAAAAAAAAATCAACCAATACTAAACTTTATCTCATGAAAAAAAATTTACGCAATAATTTGACCAATCATCAATTAATATAAAACTAACAGAAAGTTAATGTTACTATATCAAAAATATTTTCACTGTTAAAATAGTGCTCAATAATATGGACTCATATAGCCCTTTTACACTAGGCCCCGATAAAGAGAGCCTGGCCCGGATCGGTTCCTGGCTCCGATCAAAACGTCTGTTTACACTGGCGTTCTGTGATCTGGGCCAGACCCACTTTAAATGGAAATAAGCATGCGCTCTCTAATTGAAAAGATTACAAAAGTCAAAATGGCGGACAATAACAATAATTTTCAAGATTTATAATGGCTGCCGATACGGCAGTTGTAAACCCTGCACATGCGCAGAGGAAGTTTTAAACAGAGCCAGGCATGCATTAAGTAACTTAATTATCATAATTCATAATCACTGCATATTTTTGAATCACAATTAAATTCTGTCTGTACTTAAGAGTTAGGAAAATTAATCAAACATTGGAAATGATATTTCAAATGTGGTTAGTATAAATCACAATGGGCCAAACATATTCTAACATGGCACGAAAATGAGTAATATTGATTAATTAAATTCACATGGAGCCAAACTAATCAATTTGGAGAAATATTTGGCACCATCCCTTGCCTTAATCCTTTCAAATAAGCATATTAAAGACGTTCAATTTAATCAAAAAAACAATTTTCACGATATCAAGATCAAGTGCTTTAATAGTAGTTAGGTTAGAAATTGGAATTGTTAAATAAAAACAAAAAAAAAAGCAGTGAGTATTTACTTCTTGTTAACACTATTCTAATATTGTGCAGAAAATAATTAATAGCAGGAATCTACTATAAATAATTAGACCATGATTAAGAAATGCAACATTTCTCCTATCTAGTACAAGCTACAAATTGAACGCATTTTTAAGAACAAGAGCAATAACCCATACTAAATATTTTTCAATTTTTCTGATTTTCTAGAGGGTTTATCCTTGTTTGATAACAAACACTCAATGCCAATTTTCGTCAAAATCCATCAATAATTGTGCCTTCTAGAGTGTTTACAAGCTAAAAATTGAATGCGTTTTCAAGAACAAGGGCAATAACTTATACTAAATATTTTTCGATTCTTCTGATTTTCAATAGGGTTCATCCTTGGGTGATTACGAACATTCATACCAAGTTTTGTCAAAATCAATCAAGAATTGTGTCTTTTAGAGTGTTTACGAGCAATTGTGTACGGATGGACGGACATGGTTGACGACAATATACGCCCCCCCCATTTCATGTGGGCGTATAAAAATAATTGGCAAACTGTGTATAAAGATAAATTTGTTGAGAAAATAGTAAAAATGGCAATTGTGAAAACAAGACTGTTATCTAAAATAAGCAAAAACTAAACATAAACTAAAACTACAACAATGACTACATTAAGTGTACCTTCTTGTGTTTACTTTTAGATGATTTTGTTTTCTTTGATACATGTGGTAAAGATGGGTCTGTGAGCTTTATAAAACAAAACAAAGTTTATATTCACTTCATGCAATGCAATTATCACTAAAACTTGTTTGTGGTGCAGACACACTCTTTACCCATTTGAATCTGTGTCTTTATTGTGTTCAAGTCGGTTAAACTTGTGATCATTTTGCACTTAAACGATCAAGTGTTAGCATTCAGTTGACTTACTCATATAGCTTCTATAAATCAAGATGCTGTAAGCCATGATCATGCCAGTACAATGTGATTTCTGTCATGCTTATAATACTTTGTGAAATAAAACATGCTTACAATGTGCATTATGCAATCATACAACGTACATTATGTAAACACTCATAATAACCAAATAATTATGCCTTTGTTAAAAATGTCCCCAACAATTTTATTGTCTTAATTAAGATATTATCATAGCATATACATATAGATTTGTTGTTCACATAGAGGATCACTAGGCTAATTAAAGTGTAATTTGACAATCATCTCAAGTCAAGAAACAGATGTTATTCAATCTTTTTGTGTGAGGTCTCATAAAACATTTGATGGCATATTGTAATTAGTATCTGTTATCTCTTTATTTTACTTGTAGGGAAAGTCTTGACCTTTCTTGTATAGCATAGAAAAGTGATGGATTTATTTTCGTCTTAATTATAAATTTTGTCCAGTCCATTAAGTCCAAAAATGTTTTGAGCCAGTGAATATGATATCTTCCGGATTCTCATCTGATGACTGGTTCTTAGAACTCTAGAATCACTTTAAGTGAATATAAAGATCCTATTGCAATAAAGATTGGCTTAAATGGTATTTGCACTAGCCACATCATAATAGGGCCAAGTTTTTCTAAAATTACAGGACCAACAAAAGTTGAACAGAAAATTACAATGTTCATAAAAAAGACCCAGATATGCATCAATCCTTTTAAATCATAAAATTTTTTATTTTTCACAAAATTTATACTCACAAGAAAATGATAATTGGTCATGTGTTTCTTTATTTTTCTTTTCACCTTGTCCTCCCTTGGTCCATGGGTATTGTAGGTCTAGAAAAAAAATGAAATCAAGAGGGAAAATATCTAGAAACTGAGTGAGGATAAAAATTCCTGAGAGCACATTATATCATTGTACAAAAAATACTGAAAGAGACAGATATAGTTCAAGGAAAAATTTTGAATTATACAGCTTTTCAATCATGAAGCACAGCTCTTTTGGAACTGGTTTTAAAAGCTTTGAAAAAATGGAATTGGAATTAGAAATTAGTAATTAGGCTTGGTTTGCCACGCCACTAAATGTAAATATTCCTGCTTTTGTAAAACGAACTTCATGTCTTATTTAGCAGCAGAGTATTATCACTGTATCACTTGGAACCCATGAAGAACTATACATGACTTCATGTAAGATTGTTATATACATGTATAGATAGACATTAACATATATAGCAATTTAGCATAACCAGATTGCAAGAGTACTACCTTTAATAGCACAAGATAATAGGCCATTGGAATTTATCGAACATATTTATTCCAGTAAAAGGATTGTAAAAGGAGTGTATAAAAGAGTTATAACAGATTAAGAGTTAAGAATTAAGAATTAGCCTAGATTATAATACAAGTTAATATCATGTCCATAAAATCAGTCAGCTGAAAGAGTTATGTTTATTATATTAACATAATGTTAAGCAATGCTTTATAATATACATTAATAACATAGTTCATGCATGTCATCTTATATCATAAACTGCATTCAATTCAATCTAATACATATGTTTTTTGTACTGTTATCACAATACATGAATTGAGCAATAAAAAAATTAATGTGCAGTGTGAAATTCAACAAATCAATGCAAAATCTCACAGTGCTGTTCTGTTTAAATTTTAAAATAACTATTTGTCAAGGGGCAATGGGGAGTGGTTGGCATACAATGATTGGCAATCCAAATTATCTCATCACACCTGTTGACAATGTCATGAGCAAAAAAACATATCAATAAATATATTGAATGTCAACACGAATCTTCCTTAAGATGTTGTTTATTTCCAAAGACCTCTATTGAAAATCATGAGACAATATTGTAAGATAGTGCAGTATGAAAATGTTTTGTTAATTTATTAGCTCGTTTAAGGATCCTTTTCATCATAAAAAAGAAAATTATGTCTGTCATCATTCCTAATTTATTGAGCCTCCTTCAATACCTGATAAGGCAAATACCAAAGACCTCTTATTTTCTTGAAGAAAAAAGATAAACAATCAATGCTGCAATTAAATACTGCATTGTAAGTGACATGCAATTCTTATAAGTCTAAACGGTTAGCTATTAATTAACAGTGGATGTAAAGAATCTTCAAAATGATGTGTTCAAACATGTTACATTATAATGTTAAAAGTGATGTAAGCATTTCAATTAATGTGAGAATCAAATATATGTGAACATATCAATTTATGTGAGCATTTATCTAATGTGAACATTTGCATCATATGTTAGATACATGCTTATACTTACTGTAACACCACTCATATTGACTATAGGAGTCTCTGTTTCATAGCAATCATAATAATAGTTCAAATAGTCATCTTCTGAATCCTCATATTGTAGAGATGGAAACTGTTAATGGTCAAAAGATAATCAAAAAATGCTCTCCAAAAATAAAGTCTAGAATCTGATAATAATTATAGTACCAAAATATCCTTCAAAATTAGAGATCCTAATACAATAACTGACATAAAATACACATTAACCTATCCATTAAACTTTCTAATATTTCTGTCTTGGCTACAAAATCATTGATAATTAATGATCCATTGAAAGGAAATCAATACAGATTTCTATGTTAAAAGTTGTCTAATATAAATTGATCTTTTATCTGGTATGACAGGTGTGATAAATTACCTTCAATTGTTTATTATTAAAGATTTAGGTAGCTGTATACAACTATCTTGAAATCATTCACTACAGAATTATCACAATCTTATATATCTTTAATCATAACAATAAATCCAAATTTAAATTCTGTCATAATATCGTATTCTGTCACAATATCAATTTACTCAAAACTATCTGATATCCTTTAATAAATTGATACACTAAAGATATGAAAATATGAACTCCAAGCAAAATGAAGTAATATATTGTCCTAATCAACAACTGGTTGCCAACAGACTGAGTCTAATAAATAGATCAATAATACCTCTAATACTTATATACTATACAGGTGGGAGAGTATTACAAACCAACAGACCAGAACAATCCTTTGGCAAGAACTATATTCCCCCTTACATAGGTATGGATAGGCAACATATTGTTTCCCCAAGACAATGTAAACATTTATACAATCTAATTAAAATTAGCAATCTAATTAAAATTAGATCACACCTTCATTTCGTTATTATTTTTGGTTTGTCTAAAAAGATATAAACCATGGTCGCATACTGTTAGCATTCATTACAACCGATCACATGCCATGCATAATCCGTGTCTAAATATTAACAATGAATTGATACCATGATCTAAAGTAGAACAATATTACAAATGAGATTATGAGACTGCCGATAAGCGCTTGAAAAAGTGATTCTGATAAGCGGTAGAGTGGCGTGTGATTGTCTTTATAAATACCTGTATCAACATTAATGTTTTCTGTAAATAGAAGAGGAATGGGTCAGACAGAAGCAAGTTTGCTTGCATTATCTTCTGCTGGACAATAAGTTGGTCAAGTTTGAATTCCCTTTAGGATATGAGAGATATTTGAATTCCTTGGTAAGTGTTTTTGAAAATTGACCTATTTTCAACTTTCAACCCCTGGTTTGGAAAAATATCTTACCCTCTCAATCTAAACTGATAAGCTTATATCAAATTGTTCGACATCAGTGACCATAAACAGAGAGACAAATCCTACACAAATAACATCACTAATAAACATCAATTAATTAATAATCTTTCATCAACTGATGACCATTTCACTTTAAAGTGACATTTTACGGTGTAAATTATGAAATATTTATAATATCATGGTGCAGTTATGTAGTATTTAAAAAATAGCTAAGTGAACCCAAATGAAAAATTTACAATTTGGTGGGATATCTCAATCGAATTGAAACCAGTTTTTGCCACCAACATGTACAATAATTTAAAGAATCATAGACATAAGAACTGTAACTGTTATTATTGTCTTTGTGGTAGACTATATCGTAAGATCTACCCCTTGAAATCACCAGAAAAAGAAAAAACTGGTTATAGGGCATTCATCAAGTAACTGCAACTGAAAGGGCTAACATCAATACAGATACATGCTGTCATTCTCCTTCATTTTCCACTGCAAACAAGTAGACTGCGGAATTCAAACATGACAGAGAGAGCCTTGATGACCACCTGCTTCCAGGAAGGCCTACATTAGTAACAAATCAAGAAAATATCACTTGGGTGCATGATATGGTGTTGGCCGATCACAAATGACTGTTAATCTTGTGAGCATCTTTCAGAGGATTGAATGTATTTTGGTGCTCTTGAAAGATGAAATAAAAAATTTCAGATTCCTGATGTCCTATGATATTTATGCCGTTTTGAAGCAGATCCCAATGATTTTATGGCTAGATTTGGGCCCCTGCAACCCACCTATTTCCAAAAATAATTTTACAAATTACATATGTTTCAAAATATTTGTTGACAAGCTATATACAGGGTTCATAACTGGTGTCTTTACTTGTTGGAACTGTCAAATTTTATCAAGGTCTAAAGTTTTGAATAACATATAAGTTTTTTATGCAGAAAGTATTTTGATGGGTCAACGGAGGATGGGCTATAGTTGTTATTATATATTTAATGTACGGAAAGCTTTAGTTGTTTTTTTGTTGTTGCATCATTTTTGCATGGGATAGAAAGAGCATATTTCGAATGAATTAGGTACATTGGGCTCTCATCACTTAACATAACAGAAAATCTTCATTAAGGCACACAGTGAAAATTGACATCTACCAAATCGGATTTACACTCCAACAAGGTTCACAAATCATATTGAAGCATTCAAAAGTTGTCAATTGTTCTATGTTGTGTCATGGTACATGATTGAATCTCCCAAACCCTAATTTAGTTGTGTAATTTAGAATATAATAAAAGGCACAGGAGGCCATTTTTTTTTAACAAATCATACTTTATATTTTTATATTTGCATATACTCAAGACTAATATCAACCCCCCAAATGGCCCACCTGTCCCTTTAAGCATTGTCATGGGGAAAAGAAATAGTACAAATGTATAATGTCAACTAGGAGTATAATAAAAGAATCCAAAGTTTACCATTTTATAAATCTGCCCATCAATGTCTCTGCCATTTTTCTGGTGCCCAGTTAGATCAAAACCATCCTCTAATCTCTTGACATCACAGTAATATTTCCTGAAAGAGAAATGAAAAAAAAATTGAGTTTAACATTCTACATTTCAACAACTGATTGTAAAAAAAACCTTCACAAGGTATTTCTGAAATTTTTGGCATGGTACAGATTCTGACACAGGTAACAGAAGTTGCTGTTAGGGCTTGATAAGATCTTCCAGATTAGAATCATACAATGGCTTAAGATGCCGTCAAAAGTGGATTGTGTTTTCAATGACCAGGTCCTAATTGAGTATTTGCTCAAAAAGTTTCAAATTGCTCAAACTTTTTGAACACCTAATGCTACTCTGATTCTTTGAATAGGTTTGTCAACTTGGCACTGTATTGAGAAATGGCATAATCCAATAAATGATATGGTCTTATTAACCTGTACCGTATTAAAATAAGCCCACTACACTTAGTTTTGGGGGCGTGAAAATAGAACAGAAATGAGCAATGAGCTCATGTAAACAAAGCCCAACATTGCTTTGTCGCCACCTGTTTGAAGAGATAAGGACACATTTTTTCTCTCGGCTTCAATTCTTTAAAGAAAATCTTACTCAATTCTTTACTGTACATATTCATCAAAATATGTAATGGCACACTGCTTTCGATTTGTTAACGTTCGCAAACAAAGAGTCTTAACGATTGATTTGATTTGATTGGCTGAAATTTACTACCAATACAGTAGGGCCAATTTTGATTGCACAATATTTAGCTATGAATACGTAATTTTTCTCACTTGTGTTACCATGGCCGCATGGAAGAATGGGGGTGTGATTTGGACACGATATGTTGTCCAATAAACTAATTGTAGAGTTTAAGCTAAAAATTACACATAAAATTTCATAAACTGGTAACAACATTAAGTGTGTGACATAGTTTGCACTTGAGAAGGATTTAAGTCGAATTTATCCTGGGTTAATCTGATTCGATTTAGTCTAAAAACCATTTATCCTATATCAAAGCAAATTTGATTATGGTAATCAGAGCATTTATTGTAGCAGCAAATCAAATTGATATACGTTAATCGAGTAAATCAACTTGGAGCGTCTTAGCTCTGCTAACTTCCGTTTAAGTAATGGCGTCCAACATGTCAAAGTTCAACTTGATCAACTTATAGGAGAGGTATAGAAAAATACTTCCTGCCTCGCCACCATCTTGGAAACTATAAATAGTATAATGTTCATTTATCCTGCAGTATAAATCAGATTCGATTTGTGATGTCATTCTGATTAGATTAATCAAATCAGATTTAAGTGCGTAAAAATGCCTTTAAATTCGTGACAAATTTGTCTACAGTCTTAAACTAATAGGTAGGAGATATTTCTTTTAGGATCAAATTCAATATTAAGAATTATTTTCTAAAATGTTTGAAAATTGTGATCTTTTTCTCCAGACCCAGAAATAAAACTAAATATTGTGTCCCACACTTCCCCCAGACCAGTGACCTTTTAGTTTAGTTTAGATCTTAGATCTTAGATCAAAGGTTTAAAACACCTCTTAAAAAATAGTTATACTTACAATTCCTTAGCAACAGATTTAACGATTGAATTTGATGACATGATATCAATATAATTATTTAAAACTGATTAAAAAACGAGATGAGTGAATTTAATCAATTTTTCACATCACTATTTTTCCTCTTTTAACCCAATAACTTTTGTAAATATTGAGATTAAAGGGCGTTAAATATAGTGCATGAAGATAGTTAAATTATAGTTGGGTACTGACTACAATTCAATTTGAAAGAGATAAAATGTTTTTAAAGAAGCTTATGGGATGAAATCATGATAGAATTCCATCATTTGTTAGCTTGAGTTAGAATTAAGAGTTGCTATCAACGTTTCTAAGATAAACGATATTCATCCGCGATAGAACAGGTGCCCGGTTAATTCGTCACAAAATAATTTTGGTACGAAACAACTGGCTTCAAAATTCAACTTCCGGTTACGACGCGGGGAATTCAAACATGGCGGGTTTGAAAACACAGAATGCCATTACATTGAAAGGATCTACAGAAATTGTCACGGAGTTTTTTAGTAAGTAGCAACATTTCCAAATATCAGTCTATGATTTATGATGAATTTCTTGACATGAATTTCTAATTTTGCAAATTAATTTTCCACTTGTCTTATGTCTTTGTGTACCTTGTTGAAGACGTTTCGTATCATAATAAACTCTTGTAGAAGGACTTTTCGCACTATCAACCGTCATAACAAATTAACAATTGAAGTTTCTTCAAGGAATTGGCCCGCAATTAAAATAAATGATTAAAGATGAGGCTGCAAACAACAGAAACAGAATTTATATTGATATCAAAATTGTGCTGGACTGTTGTTATCACCATTTTATTCTTCCTGTGTACCAGATTGTTGAAATGGAGCCCTAATTCAGATGCAATTTAGGTTGCATATTCATAATTGGAAAATAAGACAAACATCAAAAGATAAATATTTGAATTAGAATGATCAATATAATTTGTGTTTATAGATTATGGTATTAATAGTATTTTATATCAACGTGGTATTTACCCACCAGAATCTTTCACAAGGGCTCAAAAATATGGGTTAACGTTATTAGTTTCAACTGATGATCAACTAAAGGAATATTTAGATAACATTACATCTCAAATAAAAGGTTCGTATAAAGCTGAATTTCCTTTTATAATCGTCTTGCAACGCATTTAATTTTCAATATAAATGTAATATGGAGATGTAGGCCTACTTCAATAACCTTGTGCCAGTGCCTTCAGTTGAAAAGTAACTTGCAGGCAGATATTCAGATTTAAGCATAACACATTTCTTGAAAGTTCTAACTTCATTCGGTGTTCATATTTTTATGAAACTGGATATTTCATCCCTTAACACAATTTGTGACTGATTGTGTTATAGAATGGTTAACAAATATGAGCCTACAGAAGTTGGTAGTGGTTGTTAAAAGTATACATACTAATGAAGTATTAGAACGATGGCAGTTTGATATAGATTGTGATAAGACAGTCACATCAGAAACGTAAGTAGTCCACACATTGTAGAAATCTCTTGATGTGGGTGGGGGGGGGGGGGGCGAAATACAAGGGCCAAAGGTCTGCCAGTCAGTGCCAGAGGCCTCCAGAAGCAAACAGATTTCACATGGCCTGAGATGAATTTTGAGCATGGAGAGGGGGGAGCATGGCCAGCATCCTACATACACCACTGCATTTGTATACACACCACTGTTAACTGGCCTGGCCTAATTTATGTCCTATCTGGAAACTATTTGAATAATTGGAATATGAGCCAGTGCGATCAACCAAGAAATTTGAGTTTTTTATTGAAAGTTTTAGGCTGAAACAAAACCTGAAGCCATAATATGTGTATCAAGATAAAATCACATTTTGATTCTTTCTTTGTTTTATTAGTAAAAGAATGAAAGATGAAAAAGAAATAAAAGATGGTATTAAATCAGTTATAAGACAAATTACAGCTTCTATAACATTTCTACCCTTATTAGAAACAGCATGTAAGTACTTTCAAGCAAAGAAGGATCTTGCTTTATCTGGCAAAGTTCTAGTTTGTGACACCCATTCTTCAACAAGGAAACTTAATCTGACAAGGAGATGAAAAATAGTAGCTGTCTGTATTGTATTGGACACTGTCAATTTGATTGTACCCCTGTTGTTTCCAATAGTAATATTGCGATCAACTTTGAGCTGGAAAGTAGAACATGAGCAATTAATGGCACCTGGCAATTATTAGCTGTCAATGTGCAAATGTCCAACTTTATGTAACTTTCAGTCAAATTCACGCTTATGCGACCAATTGCTATCTGTCCTTCATAAAAATACAGTTGCTCTCAGATTCTGTCAGTTGCAAGATGCTCCAAGCACAGTTTAATGAAACAATGTTTTTCCAGGTGCCTTTGATATATTGGTCTATACAGATAAAGATTTAGATGTACCAGAAAGTTGGGGAGAGTCAGGTCCTCATTTTGTTGTAAATTCAGAAGAAGTCAGATTAAGGTCATTTACAACTACAATACATAAAGTGGATGCTATGGTGGCATATAAAAAGTGTGACTGATGAAAGGATTGGTTCGCTAATCAATTGATATAGTGCTATTAACATACACATGTACATGTTATGTTAGAAATTCCCGTGATGCATCATGTACTGCTCAAAGACAGTCCATAAGCTCAAAGTCATCTCATACCAATTTATTGTGGACCTTAGAAAGAAGATCTGCATGTGCTCTTGAAGTACTTTATACTGTCTCTTGTTTATATTTCTTTGTGTTTGAGATCATTTCAAATCTTTATCTATGTGATGTGCTTTGATCAACAGGAGTAACAGCACAGAATTGTAACAAATTATTTTGTATTATGATAAACACTACAATCATGTGAGCAACTTTTGTGGGAAAGGAAAAGAAATATAAATTCTACACAATTTGACATCCATTCAATGTCTCATTTGGTAACCCAAAATATGTCAAATAAGACCATATTAAATGTTAGTAGACCCTTATTCTTGTCACTTGACATAAGCAACTTCATTGGGCTACATATGTCATTCATGTTGACCACTACATTGATCATAGTACATATGAATCAGAGCATAACTTCTGAATTAAACACTTTCATACAATATTTTGTTCAATGAATCTGTGGTTCATCATTTTACTATATCCTCTTGTGAAAATAATTGTTATCAGAGACCTTCATCCTTAGTAAAATGTATTAAGATGAGTTTGCTTGCTACATAATTTTCAAATGAAAAAAACAAAGATTTGAAATTACAAATTTTATTGACATTTTATGTGTTAATAAATAATGATAATATACACAAATCATGGTACAAATATGAAAGAAAAATAAATATATGTGTGATGTATCAGAAAGAAAAATGTCTTGTAAATGAGCAAAACTCTATGAAATGTAAATTAGCATGGTACCGTTATTCAAGTACATCATTCAAAATCAGCATTTAAATACATGTTTGTTACATCATAATTAAATTGTAAATATTTCATGAAAAGATGTAAAAAATTTTACAATGTACAAAGATTTACAAAGAATATATTAAACGTATCACAATGCTGCCTCATAAGTTTATATAAGTTCCAATTCCCTTCACCTATTCTAATATCCTGGTGCCTATAACCTGCACCTAATGTTGGACTACTTGTCGTTTGTGAGTCACATACCAACTCTTAATTCCTTGGACTATCCATGCGAGTCGTTCAATATCATCACAAAATCCTTCATCTTCAATATCTCGCCCCATCGGACAACGGTGGTATTGTTTCTTATATTCCAATAAACAGAAGCAACTTTGGCACTCATAGCACAATAAACGTCTCTTATTTTGAACAGCTACTGGTATGTCATAAAATCCATCGTCACCCTTTATTTCATTTACTGGTGCTTGCATCTTGAAGTTTTTCTTGTACTATATAGATGACATTTACAAAAGCTCTTTGCGACGGTTTACTCTGTTCCTTATTTGTACAACGTCCACTTATACCTCCCTACCGAAAACCCCTAGTTTACCATCTGTTGGTAGCTATGGTAACAAGATTTGGGTTATTAACGACGATCTATTGTAACCTGATCAAGTTAATGGACATGCTAATCTTTTATATATAACCTAATCTGTCTGAGAGTGAGTGAAGTTAAAACCTTATCATTACTCTCGATTTTTAATCACTGCCAATAGCGTCTAATAAGATCAGGCAAAAATATATGGCCAGCCTATAACAACTAAACCTATTAAACAATTATTACCACAGATCCTTCATGGTAGCTTACCTCTAATTAGTTATGGTATGCTGACTCTTATCAGCCCCTACGTAAGCTTTTACGGCTTATACGCCAGTCGATAACAGGAGACGTAGCAAAGAAGTGCGGAAGTTACAGAATGTTGCAACTGGTAGGACATGTAGCCGCAGGCATTCAATCTTTTATATTGTGACCTAAAGTCTATCTGAATGTGATTTCATCTGCCATTTCCTAGCTAAATCTGGCAGAAATTTCAGAAAGGTTTACAGCACACGTCAGTACATGGAAGATCTCATGGTTTAATCACAGGCTCTTGACATTCTGTCAATAAAATAGCAGAAATGGGAAGAAAATAGATTAACGTATATAGATATTGAAGCTTTTATTCTTAATTGATCATATCACAGCTCTGTGAGTGCAGAATTCCAATATTACGTGTTTGGTCGGTTAGTTAAGTAAACTGATCTGTAAGTTATTTATCTCTCGTTATGGGGTAGGGGGTCCCGAAGAATCGACCCATTAAGTTAATCAAGATTTGAGTCACTCCTTACCACCGATCTACATATCAATAAACCATTTATAAATGTTATTTATATAGATCAGCGTCCCTTCATAGACTTTATAACATAATATTACTTTATGGTTACTTCCAAAAGCCTACTCTAATTTTCTCACAAGCAGTTATTCAGAGCCCTTTATATTTAGGGCTTTACCGATTTTAAAATCGAGACGTCATCTGACTGCTCGTGAAGATATTTATTATGTAAGTGCTATGCTTATACTATATCAAGCCCATTTATCTAATCATCAAATATTTAGGTGAATATGTCACTTGAAGTAGGCTTCTGTAAGATTCTAGGCTTCTACTAGAGGGGGGTAACTCAAATAACCACAAAAAGCATTATGTATGATTTTGACCCATATGACTTCCAATATTCGTGAAAATGAGCTTTCAATAAGTCAAGGGCATGAGTAAATGAAAGGTGGTAATAATGTTTATTGAGCACGTTATACAACGACTTTGGTAACATTGAACATACACACTGTCCACAGATATCTGCTGGTGTGGTCAGAAATGAAGTTCAAGATATTTTTGAGCAACTTTTTAAGAAGTTTTATTAATCTTGTGTTCTGCTGCTTTATACTTCTATATGAGGGGAAAAGAAAATAACTAAATGTGAAGTAACAGAAGAGAGTTCACGCTAATATAATATACTATTTATACAATTTTATTTTAGGGTTGCCTTTAAACCTTGTAATGTAAAATTCTAGTCTACGTATTCTCACTTAGCTTAGCACTAGGATGTCCTAGAGTCTTATCATTTAACACTGTTTCTAGGATATCCTAAGACCAAGATCATTTTGAAAATACCTAGCCAGGATCAAGTGTCTGAAAATAGCTGAATCCAGTTTGCTTCATATCGAAACACGACATATTTCCTTAAGTATCAGCATGTTTTCAATATTAGCAAATCACGTTCCATTAATTCAACAAATATTCAATAATCTATACAGATTTCATTTTAACATGAGCACATTATAGTTCAAAATTCATTTCGATCAATCATTTATATTCACAGGATCATTTGTCAACCTCTGGACTGGGATCAGCCATTATCCCTGAAGAAAAGTTAGCTTCAAAATTAATAGTTTGGCATTCTAAATTACGTAGATTTATTAACACAGCGGACGTAGTCTCACAGAATTTTGGTACTGTTACTAATAATACTTCTTGACCTTTATCACCTGTAAATTAGAAAGAATAGAATCTTAGAAATTCTTGTAATTAAGATTTCAAACAACATGAAAATCAGTAATTGCCTGACACCAAATCCATTATATTTCATACTGATTCTTTTGAGTACTAAGTGTCAATGAACTGTGATTACCAAAAACCAAGTAAAATAAATTCAATACATTTTGGGGTTGATAGATAGAGCAGCGGAAGTTTTGAAAGGGTATATTAATTTATTCTTCCCATTAATTTCTGATTACCTTTAAATATACTAGATTCAAACTTGTCTTGATTACCAGCAAAATATATATGAGGACATTCATTTAAAATAAATGGATCTTCTTCATAGAATGGATAGCAACCTGTAATACATAGAAACTACTATCTTCTTTTACGTTATTTTCACTTTATTGATCTCTTTACTTATTCTGACACTAATGAGTATAAGATAGTTGAAAAGGTTTAGTAATAAACCTACCTCTTGTCACGTTTTCTTACATCCATTGCATTTCATTTTACTTTAAATTGAGAATCTTGAATCTAGCATTGTGTAGAACAGCATGCAAAATTCTGTTCATTTCATTAACCATAAAAGTTTTCAATACTACCATGACATCAATAAGTAGAATTATAACTTACCCAGTGTATCTGGAGCAGTAGGAGCTATATGTCCCCAGATTAAGGTTTTTTCTAACATATCTATTCTATGTTCTATATCACTGTATTTATATATATCTTCTATAGGTTGTCCTGATGTACCTAGTATTCTACAATATAGATCATAAATCATATTTCATACTCATTTCTATCATATTTGAACTCAACCTGCATCTATAAGTCTCTTATCATTATCAGATATAGAAAATATTTATATTATAACAAAAAGAAATGTGCAAGAAAAAGTTTGTTACATTGGTACATTTCCTGCAATCTGAGTTAGTCCCAGGAATGTTCAATGGATGAAAACTACTGACCTGATACCATCAAGACTAAAGTCGTAAGGATTAGTGACATTATGTAATGTAGGATATGTGTTAGCTTGTGGAAACATACATCTATGTAATTGCTGTTGTGGTAGAGTATAATTAGATGGATCATATTCACCAGCCATAATATCAACATCTACACAGCTCTAAAATAATACAAATATGATCTCAGGTGAAACACTTAATTGGTAAGCCAATTGCCAATCGGTAAGTTGTTATCTGTGTGATTCCATTGAAGGCAAGGAAAATTTTTAAGTTGCATCTCAAAATTCTTTCACTATAACAGTTTAATTAGACAGTTAGCAGATAACAAGTTACAAGTTCTTCCAGCAGAAGCTGATGTCACAAACTACCACCAAAACAAACCACAAACAAAAAAAGAGAGCTCCTGTTCTCATGTCCAACCACTTTAATGGAATATCAAGAAATATCTTCGGCAATGCATTTAAAGTAAGTAATATCAAAAGAACTCTTATATATTTAGAGAAGAAACAAAACATACTGCTAACTGAACTAAAATATCATCTAAACTTTTAATAGCATCTACACTAGCAGCTGTTATTTTCTTGGTTAAATACTTGGCCTAAAATACAATACAAATCATTATAAAATATACTCATGATCCCTGATATTCCACAACATAAATACAAATAAGATAGCTACAGATGCTTTAAACTGATCATACCTTATTTAAACTTTCTTTATCTTGAGTTGATTTACTTAAAGAATTACCAGCCAGAATAACTCGGACTATACTAGCTGTTGATTCTTGTTGACCCTCATCACCTAGTTGTCCTGTTATTAAATCTACTAATAACTGAGATTGGAATAACTTTTCCTGTTTACCTCCCATTTCTAGACCTGATACTAATACAATATATCTGAAACAATACAGAAATATCATGTGTCATATTTTTCTATAGATTAGACAGTTGGCAGGTTTAATGAGGACTTTCTCTTTTAAAGATTATGTAGTGATTAATCTAGGACTTTTTACAGATGACAGAGAGTATCACTGTAGTCAATGAAATACAATCCTTTCACATGGATTCAAAGTTTTCCATCAATTTTTGTAGTGTAAAAATAATACTACTATATTATACTGTAGTATATTGACACTTTTTAAGCTCATATTTAACCCAATTCTTTACCTGTCTTCTTGTAATATTGGTCTTGGTACTTGGTCTGGTAATATCTGAAAACAAAAATCTTCAACTTGAAACTTGCCAGGTTTATCTTCAGGCTCACATCCATATACAGCTATTACTGGACCTGTATAAAACCATAATTTCAATCAATTCAAATTGTTGAACAAAATATCAAATAAATCTTTATAGCAAACTTAAGGTTTTGTTTCATTCCATACTGTCCCAGTATTAAAGCAATAATATGCGAGTAACAGAGTAAAAATAGGCTTATTGAAAATATATGCCTTATGTATCTTAGCGTATAATTCAATCAGTCTATGTATATTTATACAAACACAGATAGATTTGAAGAAAAAAATTACTTACCTGTTACAGAGGTAGGTGGTTTTAATTCACCCAATAAAAATATCCTCTGTAATTCATCCTCTAATATCAACTTATCATTTTCATCCGTATATTTACTGAGTATAGGTTGGGGCATTAAATTGTGCTGAAAAAATCACATTATTATATTTGCTTATTGATGCCTATCATTCGATTAGTTCTTAGAAACATCTAGGGTTGTAAAAGTTTAGCTGGTTTCATTAGTGGATAGACCAGACAAAAATGTTGTGCTTCAAAATCTTGAAAAGTACAGTCAATAACACATTTTTCAACATACCTCCTCACTAACTTCTTTCAATATACTAGGTTTTAACTCCATGTGTTTAAATATTGTACCTATAACTACACACTTTTCATCTACTACTAATTCATGTAACTTTCTTACTTTCACGTCTGGACCTGTAAAATTTTAGAAATAAAATGTTGTGATCAATAAGCCACTGCAGAGAATATAGACCTATTATACAGTCGAGTAACCTAATTTCGTGGAAACCTATTATTCGTGGATTTTCGGAAATGATTAACAATTTACGTGAGCGACCTTGCGCGACCTCCGCATTAGTTTGTTTTGATAAACATGGGTTTTCTGTACAATATCAGCTAGTAGAATGAATCCAATAGTTGCAAGCAAGGTAAAATGTATTAATGTATACTTTGAAAAATACAAAATGGCGGATTTCACTTATTACCAAACGTCATCATTTTTTATCGGCCGAATTTCATTATAATCCCGAGCTGTAATCGGAATTCCAAATGTCGTCTGCTAGAATATAATCCAACGAATGAAGTCACGTGATCAACTAGCGGATTCCGTGTCAGCAGAAAATTTCTATGGAACACAAAGTGGACCATATTCTTATGTTGTTTCAGTGACTTTTAGCAATAAATCACGCTACGTATCTTATTTTGTCAGTCACTATTTTTTTTTTAAATCGTGGTTTTTTGAATGAATTGTCACTAGTTATAATGAATTGATATTAAAGATAAATACTAAGAGAAGTTAATTATACCACTGGGTATGCATACAACGTGTTTATCTAGACTTATTTATAGATCAAACATTGTACACGAAAATAGGTGACGCATTCTGCCGCCGTTTTCTTGTCTGAAAAACTTTATTCCAATTAGTAGATGTTTAATTTATCATTCAACAACAATGTTCAAGTCTTATAATATTTAATCTTCCATGATAATCTGGGCAGGCATAAAAGAAATAATTACCCCATTTCTCTTTAGCAGCTTTAATAAGTTTAGGTTTCATAGTCAGAAGTCTTTCTGAATATAAGTGAGCATACTGCCTGCTAAAAGATCTTCCTTTCAATTTGAATCGTTCGTTGTGGTCTTGAAAATTGCTCGAATTAGACCTTGAATATGTGGCAGTCTCATTTTCATCTGCAGAATCATTCATAAAAGCACCAACACCTCTAGGATCTGGTTTATCTGTGTATATCATTGTATTATCACAGATTATTTTACAGAGCAGACAATATCGATAAGGAAAAGTCAATGTAAACAGGACTTTCCCGCTATTCAGAGCTCTTCAGTTTAATGAAAGCTGTTAAGGTTGAGTAGGTGCCCGAAGGGACGCTACTTGTGAAATAAACAGACTACAACTAAATTGTTCATTTTATTCTCATGTCACTCTATGGTTTGATCCATGTCTCTCCGACCTGGAACATCTTAGTCGAAGATATAGTATTCGTATTGCTTCAACAGCAATAGAATGGATAGCTTGCAAGGCAATATAACATACGCCCACTACCAGCTCTCAGAAATGATAAAGGAGCCATGGTGGCTCAGTGAGTTAGACGCTTGCTCGCTTACCTGAGGGTCCAGGGTTCAATCCCGTCATAGGTCAAGATAATACCTTCGGATTTTTCAACCCGGTTTCCCCCTGTCAGTGATGCAGTTACGAGGGGCTGACATGGAAAAAGCGTCTAGTCGTTCGGATGGGACAATAAACCGAGGCCCCGTGTGCTACAGGCTGTGCATGTTAAAGATCCCTCGACAGTTGGAAATCGAAAAAGAGCAGGCTAATGCCGCCGTCCTGACAAAATTTCCCTCATTGCACCCTGCATGGCGTTGCCCTTCTTCATTAGCCCACATGGTGCAGAAAAGTAGGACGTAAAACTCCATTTTTCATTTTCAGAAATGATAAAGTTTGTAGCGGTTTAATATGTGAAACCAATCATCCGATTGTTACTAATTTCAAGCTTTACTGAGATTCAAGGGCAATAACTCCAAAACCATTCATCCAATTATTACCATATTTGAACTTGAGATCTCATCAATATATATTTTACATACCAAGTTTCATCAGGATCAGATAAAAACTGCACCCTGTGTCATCACTGCAAGCAAAATTTGAAACGTTTTTACTAAATCAAAGGCAATAACTCTAAAACCGTTCATCCGATTATGACCAAATTCAAACTTGACCGAGATCTCATCAAAATTTATACATGCATACCATGTTTCATCAAGATCAAATAAAAGCGGTAGCCTCTATCATGCCTACAAGAAATGTGGATGAATGGACAGGGTTGACGGCAATATGATTTCAAACTTCTAATATTTTACAAAAATATAAACCTGAGATCTCATACAGATTCTAAATTCCAGAGATATCACTACTAACACATTTCTTTAGATGATTTTATTTCAAAGGTATAAGATTACCAAGTAATGTGATTCAAACAGATCAAATGAGAGACAAGGTATTCAAAGCTCTAACAATTAAAGTTAAGAATAATTGCAAGATATAAATCTCCTTTTACATTATAAACCTCTTGGGAGTATGCCGAAGCAGATCACAAACTATGGGCTCAAAGTTTAACATAAGCATTCAATCATTATACAGTGTTCTATTTAATTTTTCGCATACTGAATCGATAATTGCCAGAACAAATAAGGATGATTTCTTAACTTCAAAGCTACATTAAGTTTACATATACATATATATGCATAATCACCTTTTGAAAAATTAAACATTATAGGGAATTTCAGGCCTTAATCTTTATCTGATGGTAGGTAATTCTAGTTAATATCATTCTGAAATTAAAGAAAGGGCTCTTATTACATCCCAGATTTCATAAAATTCTTCTTATGACCCCCTATAAATTCAGATATTTGAAGAATTTCTGAAATTTAAAATACTTGATAAACCAATGATACAGAATTTGGCTTGTCATTTCACGTAATATTTTATGAAATAATTATAAAACTCAAATTTTTCTTTCTCAAAATCTCAAAATTCTATTTGAAGGAAATTGTTATTTTTACACTACCATTAATAAGGGATGTTTGAGTTAAGGATTTCTCTACTCTATCTGTATCATATTATAATAATATAAAATGTTATTTACAATGCTAATATACATGATCATATACACCTATTTATAGCATAGCATGTTATAATCATGCAGTTTATTATATAAAGCTTCACACTAATATCTAAAACTCAACAAAAAAATATATAATGCTTTTAAACTAATAATGAGAGTAAAACAAGACATATTATCGATCCAAAACCATTATACCAAGAGACAAATCTGTAGATAAGAGTTACAGCACACTTCAAAATTTCAGTTATCTCAGGTTTATTAGGGATATATCATTCATTTCTATGATAAAAGTAAATTTCCCACTTCAATGTCATATATTTACCCTGGCTATCACTATGATCAGAAAGGCATGGTTTCAAAATTTTATCCAAAATCAATACACAAGTGTATATTTCAGTATCCTATCCATAAATCAATAAGAGACAATTTCTGTAAAAATGTAAATTCCAAATGATGTTTGCATTTTGTATTATTTGTGTTGATGTAAATATGTGGTCACAGTTGGCAATGATTGTAAAACTAAAACAGGTTTGGATATACAAGACAATTGTTTGTTGTTAATAAGGTACTTAAATTATATAAATAATCTATAGGCTTATATACCATTAAATAATAATATAATAAACTAAATAGGAAGGGAATGTAAATCTATGAGCAGAAAAATACTCTATTTCTTATGAGTATGGCACGTTCTTGAATTGAACTTTTCACTATTATATTTTTATATTTTGGATTGTCACCCTACTTTTACCAAACCCAGTCCTTAATTTTTAAGATATTGACACCTGAACACATTTGTTAAATAGCATTAATACTACTTAGTTCGTACAAATATATTCATGCACATATCCAAAAATAGCTAAAACTCTATTTTACCTGATAATTTACCTAATGAACATCAATGGTTAAATCTTGAAAATTTTAGCAGGCTGAAAGCAAATTATCCAACAACAAATAGTTAGCAACATAATCATGTTTTAGGATGATTCAAAGGAAGATATAAAGATAATAATCATTCTAAATAGTATGATAGGAATAAGTATAAATTTGAAAACTATTTTTTTCATTCACAATTTTCCATTGAAAAAGTAGTGATCAGAAGAAAAAGTGAGCTAAATTAAAAATTCATATCTCTTTGTACTAGATTTCGTTCTATGAAGAATACAGTTTTAGTAATAATGTTCACATTACTTGTGCTATGTTCACAGTAATAATAATTATGCAAGTAAAGTCTTCTATATCAGACATATTTGAGATTTTTATGGTTGAACCCTTTCATCCTATTCATATTATTATCAGTTATATTTTGAAGAGATAATGCCAAGTCTATTTTGATATGTTATTCTATCTTGAAGCAAATTTAACTGCTCTTGATTAAGTTTGATAAGAAAATAAATAAGTTTTCTAAATTTTCATGTGTATGGGGGACACTGACAACATCAATTTGGACCATTCCAATTTTCAGTCAGACGTCTGTGGTTCCTGCAATTCCACAAAATATATGTGTTTGATAACGTCACTAATTGCAAAACATCCTTTATCATATAAGGTTTTTTGCGTGTACTTATTTTTTGTGGAATTGCAGGAACCACAGACGTCTGACTGAAAATTGAAATGGTGCAAATTTATGATATCCGTGTCCCCATTACACATGCAATTTTTAGAAAACGTCTTTACAATCCCTTTTAAACCTATAATTTCTCTATACTTTTGAACTGAATAAAAAATGTTAACTTGGTAGAAACACATAAAAAACTTGAACTTGCCATTATTTCTATAAGGTTCAGGTTGGTCAGATTCTGTACAGAGAAGTATATGTTATTTGAAAGTTTATCAATTTACCTCATATTATAGATATGTACATTTACTGGTTTTACTACAAAATATTTACATTAACAGTTTCATCATATACAACTGTAACCATAATAAAATAATCTTATAATACAAAATACACAACTACCATTATTCTGGTCCTTAAAACACAATCTCAAGATTCAAATGTACAAGTGTAAGGTCATTTCTTAGACATTTATTATCTAATTAAAATGCTTATCAAGATGTTTTCTTTCTTGTTATTATTTACCCTACTAGCCATCCATAATCTGACAAATCAGTGTTCAGTTGAACTTTGATCAAGAAATTCCCCAAAAATCTCTTATTGATATGGCATTTAATTGGTTAATATTTTAATGACCTAGTACATACATTGCATAACAATTTCATCAGATCATTGATGGCGAGTGCAGTCTCACACAGAAAAACACAAATTAAAACATTCAAATTTGCAATTTTATCAGACTGAAATTTAACAATTATGTTACTGTGAAATCATTCATTTCTTTGAGCATCCAGTTTTTTAAGAAATAATTTCAGATTTGTCGTAATAATTTCATTTAGAAAGTTAGAATAACAGCACTATATACCTGTACAGATAAATAGTTGTCTCAACTTGCGGTCTCAAAGATTCAATATAGAGTATAACTAGTAGCATAAAAGGGGAAACCCATTTAATTTAAAAACTATTCAAGCATTTGGATAGAGCTGGAATGCACCCTGTTGTGTATCTAGAATACTTTTTAACTTAATAAGAAATGTCTAATAAAATAAAACTAAATACTTCACAACCTGTGTATATCAGTCTTATACAATTTAACTCTATTCCTTAAACAGTTATTGCTCACCTTAAATTAAAGACCTTGAATTCCACGATGTCACCTTGAGTCAAATTACAACATTCCTCATTATAAAATTCTCAAACACTGACCTTTCAGACTACTCATGTATAGTTTTTTTACTATATTTAATACTCAAATTACTATATTTCTTAAAATGTTGATTATATTTTTGTGAAGATTTTGTTTAATCAAAATATTTTTAGCAACTAAAATTCTAATTTATAATAGCATTAATGTTCCGAGTGAAAGGCAAGAATTTAACAGTGGAATCAAGTGACTAACAAAAGTATTCATTTGAGCTCCAATTGTACAAAATTGAAATCATACCTCTGTGCTTTTTGACATTATGTCATCTGGGCTAGTGGTCATTAACATAAATATTTGATGATGAATTTGTCAACAAGACCTTTAATCAAAAGTTGAACAATTGATTTAGTTATTTTGAAGGTTAATAAATGCCTTATAGTAATAAGACTAGAGTATAATGTCATGATAAATATAATAAAAGTTTAAGAGGAGATCTTCATGCCTTGTGATTGCACTGACCCACCACGATTTAAACGTCTCATTCTGTAATAAAAAAAATAAAATAAAAATATAGTCTTATTTATAACAATAAACCTCATTTGAAGTTATTTATGTGGAAAAAAATATTAATAAAGATATACACTTCTTTACAAACCAATTTAACTTTTTTTTATAATATAGAAAGTTATCCTTGTTTTAAATTTTTGACTAAAAAGTTATAGAAGGAAATCAAAATCAAAATATGAATAGATTAATCTTTGTAAATTGGGGAAAAAAGGTATTTCATTCAAAAAAAAACTGAGAAAAACCCAAAAATTCTACATCTGACATAGAAAATAATTATATCAACAAAATAATGGGTTTTGTCATTCACATATTAATTCATAGGAATTAAATGTACCTTTTGTAGTAGAATGGTTTGAATAGTAGATTAATAGTACAGAATATAAAAATATGTCATGCAATTACTATATACTATGAATAATTCTTATGTGTACAAAAAAAGCGTTGTCAATTCAAGATATACAGAGTAAAGACAACTGAAACCACATGATAAGTTTTCTAAGGAAATGCTAATACTGAAATCTGGCACAATCTTTTTATTATCATATATTTAAAAAGCATTTGTCCTAATAATCCAAGATACAAAATCAAAATTACATGCAAAAGTAATGTGCAAAAGCTTTATCTACTTTAAGTTGATACAAAACAACACTTGAGGTTCATGAAATTCTGTAATTTAAAGGTAGAATCATTTAAGGACAAAAATGTTTCAAATTCTAAAAACTGCCCCAGAATAAAAACAACTCCCACAAAATTTGTTTCAGGTTGATTTAAGAAATATTTGGGAAAGTATCAGGCCTCTAGCTGGGTTATAAAATACCTCAAACACATAATGACTTAGAATTTCACTGAACCTCCATGATACGACCAACGAGCACAATTAACATGCTTCTGACTATGGCACCTTGCAGCAGACTTATGTCCTCGAGAATGATCAGACCTGAGAAAGTTGGGAAGAAAACAGCCTCTTCATTATATATTATATTTTACCTTTGTAAGAAAATAGAGAAGAGTAGAGCTCATAGCTATAATTAAAATTGATATATCTAGATATATTGGAATATTGAAAAATCACGAAAAGCTCTTATAAAACCATAATCTTGGAAGATATCCAACATAGCTTACATTTGACATAATGGTATATATTATGTTTATGAAATAAGAAAGCACCAGCCACCATGAAAAAAAAATTAATATTATGTATACTTCACAAAAAGTGCTATTTATAAAGACAAGAAGAAGGTTGAACCTCCATCGCCCTAAGTGTTGATCATCGGGGCTACAAATGAAGCTTATAATGTTGACAGAATATATCGATGTCATACATGGCGTAATATATCCACAAATGCAGAGGGTTAAGAGGCCAGGAAAATATAAATATATAGTTACATTTGATAAAGAGCATTGTTTCAATACCTACATGAATAGGTATTTCACACAAAATAAATACAGAATAAATGAGGAATAACAATCTAAATACACAGGTACCTACCTAGGGGAATCTAATGGACTATTGGGGCTTCCTTTTCCCTTCACAGGTTGATCTTTCTCATACTTCCGACATGAAGCTAACTTCGACTCTAAGGCCTAAATTAGAAACACAGATATATGATACAAGTTTGAAAATAAAGCTACTGTATGATATAATAACCATGGTCATTTGAAGTCAAAATCTGAACAAACTCCATTCCTTGTTGCTTTTAAATTTGAGCAAAATTGTGATACTTCAGTTAAGACTGTATACCCTTTTAGTAGGGCAAAACTGTAGAGGGAAATCAAAACCGTTGAGGACTAGAACAACCTGAAGTCAGATTTTAATATTGAAAAGTAAAATGGAACTGTATCTATTTTAGTCTAATTTAATGTTTGCAACTTATATAACAGTATGACATTTTTAATAATAAAACAGTTGAAGTGGAAGAAGTAAAAATTTGTGACAGAAGACGTTGCACTTGCACCTCTTGCTTCTCTTAAAACAAACAAGCACCAAAAGTCTCACAAGTGATAAACTCACCCCAACTTTTCGTAATAAATCACCCACAATATTCAAAGCAGATATACGTGCAGCAGGCGTAAGTGCTGAGTTACCATTAAGAAAACCTGAAAAAGAGCCACAATATTTTCCATTCATTAAATGAATATAACCTTTAATGCCATGGTATATAAAAAACATGCAAGAAAGACATAACCAAATTTCCTTTAAATACATCTATCTAATGTAATACTTTAAAATTTGCCAATCAAATATACAACATTTATAATTGTAAACATTCAAAGATTGTAAATAAATAGCACTACCTCTCCCAGGTGTGGGAACTGGGGTTGTAGGTGTTGTTGGTGTGACAGGTTCACTTTTTGCAGTTTTGGAACCACTATAACCACTATCTACGAGTTTTTCCTGAGTTTTATCTGCTATGGTCTCAGAGGTATTTTTTATCACTTCATGATGCTCTCGTACATGAAGCTCCTGTTTTAAATCTAAAATGAAAAAATAACTTGACAGTAAAATTATGATAAATGATAATACAAATATTTAAGTAAAACTCCTATTAAAATCTTGTCACTAAGGGCCAATCTCATTATTATTATATTATAAGCATGTTCCTAAAACCTATATTTTGATATACAAGTAAGCTAATTACCTCTAGATTCATCACGTAATCTCTGTACGGTTTCAGCTAACGTTTCTTTTTCATCTAATTCACTCTCTAAAAATGCATTTCTTTCTATAGCCTATACCAGATAATAGAAAGCATGAATTAAAATCACTCTCAAGGTAACATGTCATACACAAAACTATAGGTAAGGTAAGTAACCACTGAATGTGTTTATGTTCACTTTCTGTATAAGCAGTCAATAACTTTAACTTCAGACCATCTTCTGTTTGAAAAAGACAATAAAATGATCAGTAGAGGTCAAAATAAAGAATAATATAAAATAAAATAAAAATATAAAAATATAAATAATATTACTAACCAAATTTAATCTAGCCTCAAAATCTTCTAAAGAAACCACTGTGGCCCTAAATATAGAATATCAAGTGATGGTTTACAGTTTTGAACTATAAAAATTACATCATTTCCTAGTGTCTATTTTCAGTTCAGGGACAGTTGAGCTATTTATAAAATACTTCAAACTAGGGATTTTACTCACTATTTCTACATATGTTTTTTCTATAGTCTATCTTAATATGACGACTTGTCATTTTAACATTCAAACATGGTTAATTCTGGACATACATTGATTTGAGTATGAATTTCAGCAGCGAGCTGTGAATACTATTTGTGATAATGGCTTAGCTAAAAAATTCCTATTTCTGAGACTAAGATAGGATTGGTAAAAAAAATGGTGCATCTGTCCCTTTATAAGCATTCACAATTTAAAACCGTCAATTCACACTAAGAAAGGAACTTTTCCTCCTAAATAGTGTATAGAGATGCATTTAAAACCATTTTCAGCCTGTTTCAGTGAAACATCATTTACTTTGATCTTGGATACTAAGTTGCTCAAGTTATTGCACATGAATGAATGAATGAATTCAACTCAATAAGCAAACCCCTAAATTAACTTTTGATATTAGTTTAATTTCAACTTATATGTTTTAACATTATTTTGCAAAACTAAAAAAAAAACAATAAGGTATAAACTATACCTTTTAGACCTTTCTAAATCATCATTAGCTTGTTCAATCTCTCGAATATATCGCTGAAAATTATCTTTTACATGCGTTGTTTGTATTAATTCATCTTCTAACTCACATATTCTTCTATGACTACCTGATTGCAAAGATTCTAGTTTATTCTGAAACAATGAACAATATTGATACTACTTCTCAAAATCATTCAATTTTTCTGAAAAAATCAATAATAAGGAATTCATCTGTCTTTCCTTTTAAATATTTTGTTAATGAGAAAAGTGTTGCTACAAGTGCCTTGAATGTACTCTCTAGTGTTAGGAGTAAATGTTAAATGCAAAGATCCGAAATGGCAGAGTTAAGTAAATAAAAGCACACCCTCAAAGTTTCTGTTTCTTGTTTCAACCTAGCATTATTTGCTTCTAAATCTCCATTCTTCTTTTCTAACTGTTTAAGCTGTGTTTCCATTTCATCTTCTAATTCTTTACTACTAATCTGAAATTCTTCGAGTTCTTCTTTTGTTTCTTCCAGCCTAAACAAAATGGAATACGGTATCTATGTCTATAGCCTGTTAAGATGGTGCTAACTACAAATCTTAAAACTGTGACTTGAAATATGTGCAGTCTAACAGAATTCTATCAGTTACATATAGGTCTAGCCTAGCATGAAGAATTAATTATAGACTACATTATGTAACATCATTTATCATTCTCATTCAGTCATCTATCTACGTACTATCCCATTTATATGGTAATAGCCTACATATGTGGAACAGTTTGGATTATATACCTATACAGCATTTAGCCTAGAATTTGACCTATATTATTAACCTGAATGCAATAAGTTTACAATCTTTTAGAAAGAGAAAATGCATTATGCTAAATGGAATCGAAGATATTTGAATTATTGCATCTGTTGTCAGAGCTAAAGACACAGGTATACTTCATGCCTTAGGAAAATGTTACGTAAAGATTTAAATATTATTAAGTTCATGATGTTTCATGTATTTGCTGGTTTTAATTATCAGCTATGACTACAGCTTTTTCTCAAAATCTGATGTATGATTCACCAACAATTGAATTCTGCTTTGTTTAGGTATGCCGGTATCTATTATGACATAAAAGAAAGTCAAAATCAACTCACTCTTGTTTAAATCTTTGGGCATTTTCTCTCCAATAATTTATTTCCTCTTGAGGATTTGCAAACTTTTTGTCACTCATTCTGATAGATCTACATTTGCTAGGATGAAATGGTTTGACAAGCCCAGCTGTTTATTGAAATTGAATCATATCTGGTTCAGTTGGCAACTCCTTTTTCCTGAACAAGATTTTTATGAAAGGCAATTATTAAAATGAGATAATCCCAACCAGGCACGTTTGACAAGTTTCAAGACTGTGAGTTTATACTTTTGATTGTTGAGCTGGTGGATTAGTCAAGTGGCACTGGGTCAACTCACTGGTTGGTAAAAATATTAAAAAAGTTTCATTCAACAACAATTTGAGTGGATCGAAATAATTCGTGAATTGATGGGCATATACTTGAATCCAATTGCACACATAACGTGTTGATATAAAAATGACGAACGAATATTTAGTTCAATAAGAAATATTCTGTCATTTGTCAAAAATAAACAAATATCGCCAACAAACGGAAGCAGTCGATCCACTATGGCTGCGAAAGTAGTCCGACCAATGCAAAGAGCCTACGCCCAGGTACTATATTATTGACAGCTACGCGACAATTTAACATTAAAAACATATTATAACGGTTTCAAAATAGACTAACACCAATTAATATCAAATGTGAGTCGTGAATTCCGAATCAAAATCCCTAATTTAAAACAGATCCAATGGGGGGAAAAAATATGAAAAGTAAAGGGAGGTAAATCTTTTATCTTTTTAAGTTCCACATCACCACTTCCGGATTAAACTCAGTTAGTCCGAAATGTCGACAAATTTGACATTGGGCAAGGTATTGACTTGTATTTTGACCTTACATTTGATATAGAGGTCTACGACGTTATTGGAAGTAAATAATTTCATATGCCATAGCATATATAAAATTACAAAACATTTCACCTGTAAAAAGCCCTTTTAGCGAACATTATAATGCATTCCTACTCAAGGGCAGTAACCCAAAATAGGCCTATATCTCCAGCAAAATTGGTCCTACCCATTTAGGCCTACACGGAGTCTGCTCAGCAAAATATCAAAGGTTCTTACTGAAAAATTATGTGGATTTTAAATTCTTTCAGTTAGATTATCCTATAATGAAAATTGAAGTATGGATTTCTTCACCCCATTCAATTATCGAGTCAACTCAAATAAATGCTGATTTTACGATTTCACTGATAAAATCAATATCCCTATATATATCATAATATATCATTTGTTATAGTTCCCCAAAAATTATATTCTGATCGTGTAGTGATTTGATCCTATTAGATTCTTATAGGCCTACGGATATGTAATAGGAATATAAATTGACGTCAAGAGATAATGATGAACCAGCGGATTTCGTATATTGACACAATAAGCCTTCGCCCACACAGTAGAATTGTTTACGTTTTGAACGACAATTTTGGATTACCGAAGAAGTCAAGGTTGAAGAATTGTTTTTATTCCTTTTATGGTCAATCGGTGATGTCATCAATGGCACCTATTACATTGACTGGTTCAACAAATGATAACTAGTGTGTGAAGCGATCTTGTTTCGATAATAGGCTACTTATTCTTATATGTATATATTTCGGAATACTGTCTCTCGGGAGTTGCGGAGCGTATTTCATTTATTAATGTTTCATTGAGGTTTTGAGACCATTCACTTTTTAAAGATAGATAGAAGTAGGCTTTGGAACAAAATTTAGAATGGCATGCAAGGCCTATCTATAGAAAAATATAATGGTTCACAACAAGCACAGTCTTAGTAATTCTGTAACGCACTGTCAGAAGTTTGCTCGAGATAGTTGTAGTCTAAGAGAAATGGAGAATTGTTTCTGCCATAATTATTCGGATTTTTGGTTAAAATTCCAATTGATATACTGCAGACCAAACAACGACACATCATCGAATCGTTATCTCCCTTTTATCGTAGGCTATGTTAAACACCGAGATATTCTTATGGTTGTTATCCCAACGGCATACCCGTAATAGCCTAAGTTCGCCATTCCAGTGATTCTAAACGTCATCAGCACTAATAAATGAAATAGGGGGATTGATTTGAAAAAATATAAGCAGCCCTGATGGAACGAAAAAGTGATGTCCAACAGGTTGTGCAAGTTAAAAGACTTATGTCATGCTACATGCTAATGCATGATCTCCATTCGTCCAAAAAACTTAATTTTATTCCTTCTGCCATATTCAGTGTTTTCTTCGTATAACCAAAGTCAATCAAAAATTGTCGATGTCCATTTATATGTTCGGTGTAAATCACCTATGTTCGAGTGTAAAAGTGTTACGAGAATAGAATTTCCATAAAAGCACAGGCCAAGGTCATGAAGTGAGAACTAAATATTTCTAATTTCTGTTAAATTTAGTAAAATAGTTATACTAATAAAGAAAAATCTGACTGATTTAAAAAAAGAAAGCATCACTGAAAACATCCCCACCCCTATGTCGTAAAATTACGCAATATTTGTCTTTTTATAGAGATACAGAAATACTTCTGACGTTTTACAAATTCCCCTTACGAAACATTAAAATGTCAACAATTTAATATCTATTGGTTGAATGGCGTAAAAATGTAAAGTGCACGGATGGTTTTCAATTCACAATATATGAGGCGTACCTCAAAGAAATACCTTCGTTAATAATATGCCCCAGAAAAAGCAATATGACGAACAATAGTCAATGAAAATATCAAAGAAAAAATCTCGAAAAATCTGAGCTTCGAAAAATGTTTGAAATTTTATTTGTTTACGACCCATTCAGAGCATTTTAAAACTATAATGATTTGGTGTGATTTTTGCATTTGTCATTGTTGCTAAGAATGTACAAAAGATGTAAAAAGTTGTCAACTATAGCTAAATAATTTACAAATTAAATAAAAAAAAACAACAATTGATCCATTGTTTTGACGATTTAAAATTTTGGTATAGACTATAGTATATAGTTGGAAATTTCTTTTAAGCTTTGGTTAACAACATGGTAACACATGTTTTGATTATCAGAAACCATCAGTTTTGAGCCAGTGTGTGAGCTTATACAAGTTCATGTTTTAAGCCAGTGTGTGAGCCCTATACATACAAGTTTAGGTTTTGAGCCGGGGTGTGAGATTAGATACAAGTTCTGGTTTTAAGTGTGTGAGATTACATAAGACTCAAGGTATTGTGACAGAGCGCTTACATAGTCTGGTCAGTTTAACAATTGAGTACACACAAGGTTAATCATTCCAGACGCATGTTAGTAATACACCAAATACTGTTTTCCCTGTTTATAAAAAAAAATCAACGTTTTGAAATTTTGTTTGAGCTCACATATATACGGGTATTATTTTTTTTTTTAGTAATGAGCATGAGAATAGAATTTATAATGATGAAGCACTCTTGTTCTTGCGCCTTATTCTCGACGGCTTAACTTAAATTCGCTGATTATAATTCGTGTCATTTATACGAGGACATTTATAAACAGTTACTATAAAGTCCAAGACTCACTGAAAGGTGAACATGAATGACCGGCTGACGCGACGATAAAAATGGGTCGAATACTCAAAGAAATCTTATTTTGATCTATTTTAGTCTTTCTGGCAATTATTTCCTGAAATTTTCTGAATCAGATAAAAATATGCATTTATCATACAAAATCAGCCCTATTTCAATTTACTAACATTAAAATCACATGACATCTAGGTCAATTTAACCTATATGTAAATATAGGTACGTCATCATCTTAAAGTGCTATATTTACATTGACCGAATTTTATGCATATTTTATGTTTTCTATAAAACGTTTCTTTCTCCGATTCATTATTGACATTTTTGTCATCGAATTATATACTTTAGTAATATACAGCGCTGTAATATAATAACAATGGCTTGTATGACGTTTTGCAAATTTTTTCTTTTAAATATATTTTTGTCTTCTGTTTTTACTCAAATAGCATGTAATTTCTTAGATTCATAAATTCTCTTCCACGTCAAAAATTCTCAAATTTCAATGTTATTTAAGGCTTATTGACAAATTAGGAATCAAAACAAATTTTCTTTTTTATTGACGCGCTTTTGTGGACCCTATGATCACATTTTTATTAGTGCTGATTAATGTTATATGTTTATTTATATTTTCCACACAAGGACGTTTGTTTATAAGTTTATTTCTATTTTGAAATATTTCCTCATCGATTTTTGTATTAATATATATAAAATGATTAGTCAGTGTCTATATATACATGTATTCTGCTTATATAGCATACGCCCTAGCATTTGTCTATACACTATTATACACTAAACAAATTAGGATTTCCATTGCCATTTAATTTTAAAATCTTTATTCAGCCGTTTGAAAAAGCGAAAATTATCTACGACGGCTTTTGGCATACAAAATACAATGTATATTTAGATTTAAAGATCTTTTGCCACGAAATTTCAGTACCGAAACTAAAAGAGAATTTTAAGCAAAAAACCATTTTTTATCACGGATAAAAACTTAGTTAGCTTGTGCCCCTCCCCACCCCCAACAAGCCTATAACAACACTGTAGGCCTAAAGGATAAAAAACCATTAGTTTTCAGAATCGAAATATCTTCAGGGTATTCAGAAACAGGAGATCTTGCCAAAATATCTAGAGCTTATTATTTTGGTTGTCTCGATCACCGTCAAAATATTGACAACGCTTATCAACTGACTGTTTATGATTTACAAAGGCGTTAACATCTAGGCCAATAAATATAATTATATAAATCATAGATATTTAACTGATCGTGTTAAATTTATTTTTCAACTTACTGAGTTTTTATATAGGACATTAGTTATCAGTTAATTTTCAAGGCCCGTCCAATAACATTTAAAATCGTAATGAAATGAAACATAAAGGGAAAATAGAAAAATAAACTGCAGATAAATATGTAGGTGCTATAAGGTACTCTATATCGAGGTTCTAGGTAAGCTATATCTAGATGTGAGGTAAGCTATATCTAGGTGCTATTATGGGTAAGTTGTATCCAGGTCCTAAGAAAGATAAATCGAGGCCTTTGGGTTAGATATATCCAGATAGGTAAGATGTATCGAGGTCTTAGGTAAGACAAATCTAGGTGGTAGACAAGGTATAACTACTTCTTATAGGTAAGATATATCTGGGTCCATGGTAGAATATATCTAGGTGCTAGGTAAGATATATATAGATCCTACTTAGGGTATATCTTGGTGTTAGGTAACCTTGGTAAGATATAACTATGTGCTAGGTAAAAGATATCTACGTGTTAAGAAAGATACATCTAGGTCCTTCGTAAGATATATCTAGACCCGCAAGATATATCCAGGTCTGAAGCTTGCACAGCGTGAAACATGTTTCAAGTTCTGTTAATATTTCTAAGTCTTACGTAACTGTGACTTATACCTTGACCATCTTTTTAAATGCTGCCATTAGGTTGGATTGCACGACGGCAAATATTTCAGCCAAAGTCCTTGATAGAAAGTCAGTAAACATTAATCCATTATGTTCACATTCTTTCTTTCAAAGACCCGAATTGGCTGTCTTCGCTGGCGTACAATTCCATGATAAAAGAAAGTAGCTTATTGCAGTCAAGGTATAGGAGGAAGTTCGTAATAGCTTGACATTTTGACGATGGATCTATCTGTGTTGAACATTGGTGAAGTGTGGCCTGTCGTAGCCCGTTTGTTTAGAGGAGCAAGTAATATATATGGAGGGGCAATGGTGTATGGT